GGGGGGGGGGGGGGGGGGGGGCTTTCCCATCGAGATGAAATCCAGTGTGCGCCCCAGCCTGAATCATTTTAAAACTTTTAAACTATTGATTGTACTCTAGGTGCCAGTATTAATCTGACAGAGAACGGGCATCTATCAGAAATATCTTTATCTCCAAGTGTGCAGAAAACTAAACTAAAAAAATTCATGTTTGAAACTCTTTCCACCCTCTTCCCTCCTCCCAGGTAAAGTTTCGGTAAACAAAAATTAAAGTTTAGGAGTGTGAAACAGACCGTATGCTTAAATGACCCCTAATTTATTGACAAATGATAGGTATCAATAATGGCAATATGTTAGAAAAAATTGCTATAATTATTTTGATTTTTTAAGAAAGTTCTCCATCAATGCCCTCATAATTTAGCTAAAAGTTACAGTAGACAATTTCCCATTTCAGCCTTTTTTAAATCATTGTTCATCATCGATATTTAGATTAAAAAACACAAAATTGAAAAATGACAAATCTGATCAAATTACAACATCAATTTTACAAATCTTTAGAGGGTTTTAATTCTAGGTTTATCAGTGAGGATGTGAAGACTGGATTAGGATTTACAATGGATGCGGAGATTATTGTTGATTCTTTTGCTAAACCTTTGCAGGTATCTCGTAATTAAAAACAAAAATACCATTTTGTCAAAACAAAAATTAAGAAAATGATTCATTCATTTGAATTGAAAAACAAAACAAAGTTATTAGTTAAATTTTTAAGTTTTTTGTTGCCAATTGGCTCTATTTGAATTTGAATTTTTTAATAAAATCCTAAAATCCATGATTTTATTAAGGTTGAATAATTTTGTCTGTTTAGATCGAACAGTATTCAGTTCTGCCTGGGACTAATAAACCACCAAAGGAAATCAGAAAATAAAATTAGAATCTGAAAGTTTATTAAGTATTTATTTTATCGTAAAATAATTTTATTTATTGAAATCACTCAAAAGTTTTTTTTTGTTTTTTTTGAGATAACAAAGATGGGTGTTGATTCAAAGGTATGAAATAGCTATGTTATCCACCCAACCCGTCCTGAGATTGAAACTTTTGATTTGAGATTGTGCTAACCTGAAACCCCAAACAATCACGACGGATACTTTACATTCATACTTATTCCGTGAATAAACGCCGACTCGTATTTTAAGTATCATTGGTTGAGAGTAGATCTATTCTGTGCCGTCTAATTGGTCGTAGCTAAACAGAGCTGGGAACTCGTGTATTGTGGATATTGAGATCAATGCTTGATCTCAATCCATTTTTATCTGCAGATTAATTTGATCTTTATTCGATATCCTGCATGGGAATCATACACTGCAGGAATAACTCAAATGAAGAGATTAAGCATTGATCCTCAAATTACAAGTTTCCACACAAATCGAGTTTGAGAGTTTCCTACACTGGTTCCTAGCTCAGATATCCTTAACTTTATGTTTTCGTCTTAATCCTTGAGTTATTTTATGGTTTTTGATTTCTTAGGAATTACCAAAAGGCGCAACAAAAGTTGCACTCTTCATCAATCCTTTCCAGGTTACAAATCCATCAGATATTCTTTTAGTTCTTCTCTGCTTTTACAGTAGATAGTCAATACGATGTGCTTCAATATAGTGGTATATATGTGTTCAAGGGGAATGATTTCGATGATATATTGGACTTCACAGTTCACAGTTCACAGTTCACAGTTCACAGTTCACAGTTCACAGCGCAAATTTTGTTAAAACCATTTTCAAACTTACAACTATCATCTGAGGGGAAATTTATATGGCTTGATGGTAATTTTCTTGATAATGCGTACCCCCTCTTTATTAAGAAGAAATTTTAATAAGCAGTGTCAAAAATTATTGAGTATTTTGGTAAAATTTTATCTATCCTTTTGTCGTTAGGAATCATTAAATGGCTCTTAATCATAGATAAATAAATGAACATAGATAGCTGATGTACGCAAAATTACTAAGAATTGTACAGTCCGCGAACTCATACTTCTAGGGGTCAAAATGTACTTCAATGATAAGCGGGGTGGTTTGTTGTTTTAATGGATTTCATAATTATTAAACCACTCAGGAGTGAATTTTATTTTGAGAATATCAAATTATTTCACTGAGCAATATATCATATCGACGAGAACTGGAGAAGGACATGAGAAGGACTAAACTAACTTAAATTTCTCTGTACAGAACACATGTACACCACAAGTACTCAGTGACATAAGAACAGCCAATGTTCACAACCGACCTAATTAATCTATATAATAGGAATATCTTTAAAACATCTCTTTACATTTATATCTTTCAAGATGAAAAATGTCGTCTTATGCGCAATCTATCTTTATGCTCTTAATCGTTTATCAGGAAAAATTAATGGCGGAAGCTTAAATCTATTTGTTGATAATAATTATTAATTGGCGGAGGATTTAATCAATTTTTTATCAGGAATCCTTAATTGGTAAAGGATTTAATCAATTTGCTATCAGGAATATTAATTGGCGGAGTCTTTAATCAATTTGTTATTAGGAATCCTTAATTGGTGGAGGTTTTAATCAATTTGTTATTAGGAATATTAGCGGAGTCTTTTAATCAATTTGTTATAAGGAAGTCTTAATTGGCGGAGTCTATAATCAATTTGTTATTCAGAATCCTTAATTGGTGGAGGATTTAATCAATTTGTTATCAGGAATATTAGCGGAGTCTTTAATCAATTTGTTATTAGGAATCCTTAATTGGCGGAGGATTGACAGGAACAACAAACCTGAATGTGAGGCTGGCAGAGGCTAAGGGATACAGAGCTCTTGTTCTAGATTATAGAACTATTGATGCAAGCATGAAAACTATTTCAAGGTTGGATATTTTATATTGTTTTTATTTAGGCTTTGTGTTTTATTGAATAGAATTTGTTTTATTGTGATTTGTATGTTTAGATGGATATTTTATATTGTTTTTTATTAGGGCTTTGTGTTTTATTGAATAGAATTTGTTTTATTGTGATTTGTATGTTTAGATGGATATTTTTTGCTAGTGCTGTTTCCGTTTTTTTTCAGTTATTGAATTTGTTGATTTTTAATAAATGTTCTATTGCAGGGTACAGAAGATTGACGCTCTAGTGAAGCAGACTATTTCCAAGCAGAATCAGAGTTAGTGACGACGGAAGGGGGGGGGGCACTGGTAGTAGTGATAAATATAAAATTGAACACGAAAATGGAATCTTTATTTAAGGGCAAAATTAATTTTACGTCGTTTGTCTGCATTTTTTTAAAATTTTGATATTTAAAGCTTTCAGATGATCAACCCCTAGCAATGGATTTAAAGAATTTGGCTGACCTGGCAAAAATCCCTGGATCCGGGGTTATATTCAAGAAAATGAGAATACATATGGCTTTCATGCTTCATGCGATAGGAATACAACAAAAGCTAACAAAAGTTTTATCTCAAATCTCATCAAAATAACTTCTCATATGAGTAGTAGTAGAAATACAACAGTAAAATTTTATTTTAAAGAATGTAACAAACAAGTCTCAAGAAAATGTGACTTGATTTGATTTTTATTATATTGGGGGGGGGCAAACAAAGTTCAGATTTCGGAACCTTTGTCTTATGGTCTCAATCTTGTGCAGTCCTACGGATTAACTTAATTCCTCTTTGATTTCCCATGGTGGTCATGTCTTGGTGGGATACCTTTAATTGAGCATTTATCCTGAAATTTATAGGGTAAATAAAAAATTTGTGGCTAAAATGTATTAAAATCGGTGAAAAAAAATACTTTACTTTGAATTCCATTCCCCCCCCCCTCATTTTTTCAATTTGAATTCCACACCCTCCTCTCCCCTCGGCGCAGGGGATGTTATTTTTAAAATTGCACACTTCTGTTTGATTATACTCCACACAATAGTTCTGACCTCTGGGTTAAAATTACTAATTTTGGTTTTACAGATTATGATATTCTTACAGAAATTATATTTGTTCTTCGTAAAATAATATTGAAATGAACGGCTATTAGGCCATTTATCACGACGGCGGTATGGAGGTTATTATTATTATTATTATTATTATTATTATTATTATTATTATAATTAATTTTGTTGTTCCGTAGAGAGCATTGATAAAAAAGTTTGCGAAATGATAGACCAAAGGTAAGAAATAGTACTTATGTAACAGTAATTGTATATTTTATATATTTAAAGTTTAATTTTTGTCAATCAATCAATAGAACGAATGTCATATGTATGTGTGTACTTTTTTGTTACTCCCATTTATTCACATTAACTGGTCTATTTCTGTGCTTCCATTGCAGTGTTTACCTTTCTTGCGTCCACTTGAGTACGTTCATATTTTCGCCCTGAACCCCCCCACCCCCCGGTAGGAAAAGGGTCAAGTAGATTATATATATGTATCCAATGCTTGTTTAAGGTTAATGTTAATACCATGTAAGGGTTAAACTATGAGGACGTTATATACTCGTATTCCGTAACTGTATTTCAGGTTGTTTAAATATCATCGGGATTTCGATGGGATGCTACTTCACTACCAAGGCACAACTCTCCCAAATAGTCGAACTAAACCTGGCATTGTTTTTTTTCAAGTGACCTTTCTTTTAATAAGGGACAAGCACAACACCCTTTAAACCTTTAACATTTGTTTATTGTTAATTGTTTACTTAAAGGGAGTGTTTGCGAAAAATGAAAGGGGGTATAGGCTTAATGCGATAAAAAAGCGCTTTTGATCGCTACTAATCTTACTTCTATCTGTTGCGTCTTTAAGAAGAAAATTGTTAAAGACGTCTTATAACGAATAACTTAGCGTCCATACAAATTGAGAAAATTGCAACATACGACTTAGACCGTAAAAAATCAATTTAATTTCAAACAAATTCAGATATTACAACCTATAGTCATCGATTATCTTTCGCCACATTTGTATATAGTTTATATTTTATAATATTTCTGATTTCGTTTTTTAAAGATATTTCTCTGGCGCTGGATTTTCGAACATTCCTGGAAAATATGAAAAGGTCGTCTTCATTATCAAAAATACTCGAAACCGGAATAAAAGTAGCTATCAGATCATAAAAAATAGAAAATATTATGAAATATCAACTAAATACGAATGCGTCGAAAAATTAACGATGATTATCGGTTGTAATAACTGAATGATTTGTTTGGAATTAAATTGATTTTTGCACGATCCGAGTTATATGTTGCAACTTTCTGCATTTGTATTGACGTTACGTTCTTCGGTATAAGTCGGTTTTAACAATTTGCTCCTTAAAGACGCAACAGATAGCAGTAAGATTAGTAGAGATCAAAAGCGCTTTTTTATCGCATTAAACCTATACCCCTCTTTCACTTTTACGCGAACACTCCCTTTAAATATAAGTTTAATATACATGTAAAATATTATTTATATATTCAAGTCAACACTTATAAGCCAAATTTGTATGCAAAGAAAATAATTTGATTAAAGTTGTCAATAAACTACTCATTATTCCAGCTTAATTTTAAAAGACGACATTTTTCTGCAATTTCCTTGATTGTAGTCATGTTGTGTGTCTTTACCAAAAGAGTGTGCGTGTGATAACGAACTCGTCTGCGAAGCAGTGCGACTAGCTTTCTCATGACAGACCAGCGCCATTTTCCTTCCCTTTATTCTTATTCCCTGGGTTTTTTTAGGCTGAATTAGAAGTTTGCATTGATCTTCAAGATTTCTTTAGAAATCCGCACATTCAGGGGCGGATACAGGATTTAACTGAGGGGGGGGGGCAAGATTTTTTAGGAACAAAAAAAATAATAATTAGGAGCAACATTTTTTGGGGCTTAAACGACTCGAAAAGAGTCAAAATTAATGTCTAAAGACTAAAAAACTAGATTTTTAACTTTTAGGAACAAAATTAAAGGTTTTGAACAGGAATTTAGGAACCATTAAAAGATTGTTCAGGAAGTAGGAACAAAATTGAAGGATTCGGACATGGATTTAGGAACAATAAAAAGATTGTTCAGGAACTAGGAACAAAAATAAAGGATTAGGAAAGGGATTTAGGAACAATAAAAAGAATGTTCAGGAATTAGGAACAAAAATATAGGATTAGGACAGGGATTTAAGGTGGGTCGGACACAGTATTAGAAACAGGAACAATAATAGGAACATTAGCAATTTAAGAACAAAAAGAAATTTGATAAATGAGTATTGATTAAGGAACATTACTAGATATGAACAATATTATAACTTAAGTCTAGTTTCTTACAAATTTCTAATTCTAATTCTGAATCTGTTAGGGGGGGGGGGGCGAATATTATGAAAATATTTAGATTTTTAAACTTTTTCTCTGATTAACTTTGTAAAAAATTAACCAGTGATAAACATGAACTTTTCTTATTTGACATTTTATATTTTCATAGGACATGTAAGTCCTGGTGATTCTTGAGTAGTTTGAAGTTTGAATGTAGGAGAAGTTTCCTAAACAAAGAAATCCTAGGTTTCACAACAATGATAGTTCCTTTAAAAATGTTTTCAAGCTGCAAATGATTTTTGTAAACCTTTCTTTTGAGATTGTTGTTTCAAGATGTATCTGTGGACAAAGATGGAGGAACTTTATTTATTGATGAATATGGGGTTCCTCATATCAACGTTAATCTTAAGGTAAGTTTTACCTTTCTTAGATTTATCTCATGGTAGGTTCTGCCAAATATTATCTCAAGGTAGGTTCTACCTTTCTTTTACATTATCACAAGGTAGGTTCTACCTTTCCTTTACATTATCTCAAGGTAGGTTCTAACTTTCCTTTACATTATCTCAAGGTAGGTTCTACCTTTCCTTTACATTATCTCAAGGTAGGTTCTACCTTTTCTAGATATTATCTCAAGGTAGGTTCTACCTTTCTTTTACATTATATGATATGATATGATATGAAGTTAGGTTCTACCTTTCCTATATATTATCTCAAGGTAGGTTCCACCTTTTCTAGATATTATCTCAAGGTAGGTTCTACTTTTCCTAGATATTATCTCAAGGTAGGTTCTACTTTTCCTGGATGTTATCTTAAGTTAGGTTCTGCCTTTTCTAGATATTGTCTGAAGGTAGGTTCCACTTTTTCTGGAAATTATTCAAAGGTAAGTTCTACCTCTCCTGGATATTATCTCAAGGTTGGTTCTACCTTACCTAGATATTATCTCAAGGTAGGTTCTACCTTTCCTAAATATTATCTTAAGGTAGGTTCTACATTTCCTAGATATTATCTCAAGGTAGTTTCTACCTTTCATAGATATTATCTCAAGGTAGGTTATACCTTTCATAGATATTATCTCAAGGTAGGTTATACCTTTCATAGATATTATCTCAAGGTAGGTTATACCTTTCATAGATATTATCTTAAGGTGGGTTATACCTTTCCTAGTAAATATCTCAAGGTGATGTCTAGATTTCCTAGATATAATCTCAAAGTAGGTTCTACTTTTCTTAGATTTTATCTCATGGTGAGTTCTATCTTTCCTAGATATTATCTCAAGGTAGGTTCTACCTTTCCTGATTATTTTAACGTTATTTTACATTGATTTACACTGTTTTACATTGTTTTACATTGTTATACATTAATTTACATTGTTTTACATTGTTTACATTGTTTTACATTGTTTTACATTGTTTTACATTGTTTTACATTGTTTTACATAGATATAAGTCATTTTACATCGTTTTACACCTTTTACATTGTTCATTGTTTTACATTGTTTTACAGTGTTTTACATTGTTTTATATCGTTTTACATTATTTTATTACATACAGGTTTATATATTCCGGCCGGTGAGGGGTCTAACTGCCACTGCAACTGTCTACGAGACTACCAAAACTATTTTAGGAACACAGTTATTCAAATATTCAATTATTCAATAATTCAATTTTTCAATTATTCAATTATTCAATTATTCAATTTTTCAATTTTTCAATTTTTCAATTTTTCTTTTTTTTTCAATTTTTCAATTTCTCAATTTTTCAATTTTTCAATTTTTCAATTTTTCAATTTTTCAATTATTCAATTATTATGGTATTAATACGTATTTACCAAGAAATTGAAATTCATTAGGGAGATGACCCATCAATAATCATAAACACTATTCACGTTTTGCAACTTACAAATGGAAGGTCCCACAAAATGGTGGCATGGCTCATATTTGGTCAGCGGCTAGGATAATAATTTGTAGGAATACCTTTTTAAATCAGGGCCAATCTTAAAGAAACTAAAAATTTTACAGATTTGGTCTGAAAAACCTGAGTCCATAGTGAATTGAAACCCCACCTTGCATAATGGAGCCTTGATTTGATTTGATTTGATTTGATTTGATTTGATTTGATTTGATTTGATTTGATTTGATTTGGTTTGGTTTGATTTGATTTGATTTGATTAGATTAGATTAGATTAGATTAGATTAGATTAGATAAGATTAGATTAGATTAGATTAGATTAGATTAGATTAGATTAGATTAGATTAGATTAGATTAGATTAGATTAGATTAGATTAGATTAGATTAGATTAGATTAGATTAGATTAGATTAGATTAGATTAGATTAGATTAGATTAGATTAGATTTGATTTGATTTGATTTGGTTTGGTAGAGAAGAACAAATCTTTGAGAAATTAAGGCAAGTTTTTATTAAACTGAAATATGCAATGTCATATTAGTCTTAACTTGAAACTTAATTTTTGTAGTTCTTCTTTCCTTGTCCAATATTTTTATTAGAGAATACTTTTTTTCAAATAATATATTTTCATCTATTTTAATTTAAATCTTATTTCACTTACTATTAGGATTAACATTTTACAGGAAAGCCTAAATCCTTTTTGCAACTTCAAAAGTTTTCTGGATCTAAGACAAATCTATTTTTAACTTGCATAAAGAAGTGAGAAGAGTGCTTATATATTTAAAGGATTGGATTCTCAAGTCATCAACATTATCATCCATGGATTCCGAGCCAGAAGTTTAACAGTTTTCAGATTTAAGAGAAAGTAAATAATAATTCAATGACGAAATATACAAAAAAGAATTAATGTTAAAAATCAATTAAAAAGTACCTCCATTTTAGTATTGAATATAATAGAATAGCAAATTGTTCTGTTTACTAAGGATGGGTAATGGTTTATTAATACTGAATGATTGTGTTCTGTTTACTAAGGGTGGGTATGGTATATTAATACTGAATGATTGTGTTCTGTTTACTAAGGGTGGGTAATGATATGTTAATACTGAATGATTGTGTTCTGTTTACTAAGGGTGGGTAATGGTATGCTAATACTGAATGATTGTGTTCCTGTAGATTGTCGGTTGTTTGATCAAATATGTTTAACTGTGATACACCACCAGGTAGATCTTTTACATATTCTTTTACTTCGAAACCTATATAGAAACTGACGTTTTAATCTATCTATATTTACTTTGCTTATCTGTCAGTTTGTATCCAATAAACGTCAAAACGGCTGAACCGATCGGGACCAAATTTTTTTTGTGTGGGCCCCCCAGGGAAGGTTTATGAATGATCAAAATTTCAAAAATTTGTGTTTTTTAGTTTTTGTAAAACTTTGAAAGTGCGCGAAAAAATATTATGAAATCCTTAAACTTTTTTATACTGTACAAAGAGAAGATGTGCACAGATTCAGCCACTAATTATAATAATATTTCTAAAAAGTACAGAAAATGGGCCATTACTGCTTATTTATTGTGAGCATTCTATTAAAGAAATAAATAAGCAAAAAGTCCATTTGTACACATAATAATCTCCTCTGAGGATGCATACTTATAAAACTGTCCTTCAGTTTTATCTACTCTTCTACTTTATCCAATGTGAGTAATTAAAAGGGGTGCTGGATGTTCGGGAAAAAGGTTTTTGTACACATCTTACTCTGACGTGTTTAAGGCCAACTAGATCAAAACAGTAATTAAGATTGTAATCAAAGGTCAAATATTTTTCAGGCCACAGGGTAGAAATGCTGGGTTTGTGAAAACATTGTTTACTAAAAACTTTTGTTTATTTATATACCAGTTTCTAAGCAGTTCTAATATGTTACAACCCCTGTCTCCCAACCCTAGTTCTAAACACTTTGGCCAATGTCTTATATTGGATTCAAAACGTAAAAAAATATTAACTTTAATTATTAATTTAGAATGCGGATACTAGTTTGGGGCATGGCGACATCATAAGGTGTGTTGACAAATTAAAAGTTTTTAAAGTGACCGGCAATGTGTGGTAGTTGAACTGAGAATGTAGTATTGTGGAAAAATTGTTTGGGAATCATTTGAGACCTATGAGACGTTTTTACGGTGCATATTTGTTCAGCAAGAGCGCAAATTCAATCTTTAAAATCCTCATAGACGACGAAATTTGTGGTAAAATTCTATAGTAAACTAATACGTTGTTTAGGAACAGGTTGAGAAAATAAAAAATAACTATTTTCATCGAGAAAATAAGTAATCTTTTTCAGTTATTGGTTTCTGTAATGTCTCATTTTCTGTAGATATCCTTGAACTTTTTTTGAAAAGTCGACATTTGAAGAATTTAAAGAAATCTGCGAACTAACTCAAAAAGAATAAAAAAATTCAATATATTGGCATGAAAAAGAAATGATTGATTCTAACATTGATTTATTGAGAAAATTTTAATTGAGAAATATGTACCTACACATTAAATTATTTTTTGTATATTCTGTTATTAAAAATAAAACAATTCTCAATCTTAACCACCCAAATGTATGATTTTAAACATTGACTTTGCGATTCAGTAATTATACATCACTGAAACGTTTTATATGTGTCAAATGAATCCTAAAAAAATCATGGTTAAACTATCATAAATTGCCGGTCACTCCCTTTAATGGCTTATAAGGGACCCTTTAACACATGGCAAACTTCAGATTTTACTTTTTAAGGGTGAACGAAAAAAACTTTCCTTCGTTCACTGTTGGAAAATAGTAATTTTTTCCATAAAGCATAAGTTAAAATATTTCAATAGTAATCTTAACCCTATCACGATGGGGGGATGTTTTCACCCCCCCCCCTGTAGTTTCTTCTGATTAACTTAAAAATGGCTTACATTAGAACGCTATTTAACTTCTTTCCTTCTTTAACGTCATAGTTGTGAACAAATTTTGCCTCAAAATGTTTTTTTGATACATAGGTTTGTGTGGAGAATAACCAATGTCTAAAAAATCGGAAATTGTTTAAAACTCATTTATATTGGTTAAGCAACATGGCTAAGACTTACATATTTGAGAAGGCCTTGAAAAAAAGTATGTAATAATTGTGTCATATTTTATATTTGTCAAAAGTAAAAGTATTTATTTTTGAAAAAAATTTCGACATACTTGTTGAACTATTTAAAAATCCCCCCTTACATCCTAACCATTAAAGTTAGAGGTTTAATTTTTTTTATGAGCAGGCCTTGAAAAGTTGAACTAGGGAGGGACATGTATCACACTCCTGAATCTCAACCCTACGGGCTAAATCAAATCTACATTAGACAAAAATAGCCCAATCGGGATAGGGTTTATAAATATTAAAAACTAAAACGAGGAAGGAAATAATGTGCTCTTAGTTTTAACCCTTAACAACGGTTTCTGTTACCACAACACTTAATTAAGTTAAAGGAACTATCCACAACACTTAATTAAGTTAAAGGAACTGTCCACAACACTTAATTAAGTTAAAGGAGCTGTCCACAACACTGAATTAAGTTAAAGGAACTGTTCACAACACTTAATTAGGTTAAAGGAACTGTCCACAACACTGAATTAAGTTAAAGGAACTGTCCACAATACTGAATTAAGTCAAAGGAACTGTCCACAACACTGAAATCAGTAAAAGGAACTGTCCACAACACTTAATTAAGTTAAAGGAACTGTCCACAACACTAAATTAAGTTAAAGGAACTGTCCACAACACTAAATTAAGTTGAAGGAACTGTCCACAACACTGAATTAAGTTAAAGGAACTTTCCACAACACTGAATTAAGTTAAAGGAACTGTCCACAACACTGAATTAAGTTAAAGGAACTGTCCACAACACTAAATTAAGTTAAAGGAACTGTCCACAACACTGAATTAAGTTAAAGGAACTGTCCACAACACTGAAATAAGTTAAAGGAACTGTCCACAACACTTAATTAAGTTAAAGGAACTGTCCACAACACTAAATTAAGTTAAAGGAACTGTCCACAACACTGAATTAAGTTAAAGGAACTGTTATCGTTATTTCAATTGATCCTCTATTAAGAGAGGGTATGTCCAATTCACAACTGTACATTTTTGGATTAATAATGTAATAGCTAAAATTTCCTTATTGGAAACCCACAATTGAAAATAATCAATATTAACAATGAAGAATTATGGCTATTTGATGAATTCTTGATCGGACAAACCTTGTAAGGGTAGCGTTGTGAATCGGATTTGCCACTCTGTTAATTGAAAAAACGTGTACTGTCCCTTTAGTAAACCTAAACTATTAACATATTATTGTTCGCAGTGTTCAGCTCACAGAGGTGTTGCATCTGTTCAGTCGAACCAAACTCTTCGGATCTTTACAATCAGGTTGGTTTACATCTACGGGGTTATTCTCACGGGATAGTCTAGCAGGCCTACCTTTCCACGAAAGGTTTTTGACTGCCATCTAACGGCCACTTTTTGCATATAATACCCATTTAAAGATTAAGTTTTACGATTTTAAAAAAAATTCTTCAATTTTTAACATGAAGCATAAAATATTTTATATTTGGTATCCAAAGGCTCCCCAAATATCCCTAAATACAGATGTCTGTTGATTGGTCGTGTACTCAAGTTTTACATAGTGTTAAAACATCTTTTTTAATTCATATTTGGCTTCAGATGTACTCTTTTATTCGTATCATTCGATGATCATTTATGAGCGATTACAAATCTTAGATTTTTTAAGTTACGTAATCATAGAATGTACCCATAAAACTGTGGAATAGGAAGTTTTGATTTTAAATGCTCATATGAACATTAAGAATGCAATTGCGCAGTGTACACAGGGTTATTTTACTTTAAAGGCTACTCGTAAAACTATTTTCCTATAACAACATCAATTACACACAAGAAGGTCGAAAAAATATCATTTTCTTAATTCCACAATTACATGACACTTCCACATGACAATTCCATTACATAACCTAAACACAGAACATTTGTGTTGTGACTATCAAGATTTGGCATTGATCTCCATATATGGATAAATTGTATCCACTTTTTATGTTCCGTGATGGTTATATCCTGCAGGGATATCTTTGGTGAAGGGATCAATTATTATTTATTCTCAAGTTTAAGGTGTCCACATTGGATATCGAGATCAGCGTTCAAGATTAATGATACTCCACACAAAGGTTTTGACCTTTAATAATATTTTGAAGTTCATCGAAAAAGATTCACTGAACTTAACTAGATTTGGCTTATTTTAATAAAGGAATCAAACATTAATCCTATAGTTTAAAGTGCCCACATTGGTTATCGAGATCAAGCGTACAAGATAAATGATATGACCTCTGTTTATATTTTGGAAGTTAATTGAAAAAGATTCAATTAGTTGAAATACATTTTTTTTCAGTTGTTAGTCAGAGTGTTAAACCCGGTTTAGAGAACAGTAAAATAACCTTTAAAGAAGACGAAGACGAAGAGGATGATATCAAGGTCGAGGTGAAGACTGAAGAAGAGGAGGAGGAGAGGATCTACAACGGGAACCTCCCGGGGATGATTGGCATAAATGAACTACCCATTAAGCGAAAGCTTGAATGGGATGAAGAATATATGGAACCTGAGGTTGAAAGCAAAAAGCATAAAAAATGTAAGAAATCTGATAGTGAACCTGCTGATGAGTTTTCAACCCTGTCCTCCTCAAAGAAGAAAAAGAAGAAAGATAAAAAATCGAAAGATAAAGAACCAATATCAATAAATAGTTGATGATCATTTTTTTCAGAAAATGTCCGGATTAAAGATGTTGTTGCCGAGGATGAGAGGATTAGTTAGCGCTCATAAACCTCTCGTTCTACCTTCTAAATCCTTACATCAGGTAACAGAATTCAAGTCATTTTTCGAGTTAACTTTTAGTGCACACAGGTCATAGCTCTTGACTCGACTATAAATGAAAATTCTTGTTTAAAGGGTGTAAATACGGAACGTAAGTTGTTCCCTTGCTTTCATTTTTACAGTCTTGACGGAACTTCTTTGTGAGATTTTTTATGAAACTCCGATATTTTGTCATTCACACTTTAGAAAACTGAAAAGAAAAGTTAGTTAACTCAACTCAAATACATCTTACGAAGCGCTTAATTATTATTGAAAACTATAAGTTTGGTTTTGATATGTTTTGTTTTTTATCTGTTTAGTAATTTTGAAAAGTTTTGATTTGATAGAATCTAAAATTTATGTTATGTTAAAATGAAACACCTTAATGTATATTGTTTATTGGCTGTATGAATCTAAGTGCAGGGTGTCCCACGAAACATGACAGTTGGTGAACAGGTTTGAATTTCTTTTTCTATATATATATATATATATATATGGAAGAAAACATTTTAAACTATTTACCAACTGTCATGTTTCATGGGACACCCTTTACTTAATTAATTTGCGTCCTCACTATAAGTGTATATTATTGATGGTGTATTTCTGGACCTACGCCTATCCGTCCTACTGCCCATCAGACCTACTAGAACGTGGTTTTTCAGCTTCTAGATGGACTTCTGGCCGCAGCGCCTGTCCTAGCCGCGGCGCTCGGCCCCCTAGCCCGTCCTAGCCACAGCGCTCGTACAAGAAATTCTCTTAACCTAACCTAACCCTGAACAAAAATAAACAGCTGTCGCAGGTCGGATGTGCAGTATAGCGGAAGGGCAGCGGATCAACATTACCTATATTATTTAACTATAGACAGTAAGTCCAGAAGATAATATTGATAAATATTAGTTATTTGTTAGGAGCCCAACATGAACCTGATTCCTATTGTGATAGAACAGACAGGCAGAGGAGAAAGATCTTACGATATATATTCAAGACTTCTTAAGGTATAATTTTCGTTCCCTATAAACTAACGAGAAAAACTAATTAATTTAATTTTGTTTTTTAGCATTCTAAGAAATAATCTTTTCTGAGGAAAACAAATTCAGGGGGGAAAACATCATACACATTCTTATTTGTTGTTTGATTTTGTTTAATCTTACATTTTCCTAGGATCGAATAATTTGTTTGATGGGTCCTGTCAACGATTATGCTTCAAGTATAGTAGTTGCTCAACTTCTTTTCCTGCAGTCAGAGAGCTCTAAGAAACCTATACATATGTAATCATTTTTTTCATTTTTTACTACAAGACAAACAGAAAATTAGACAGATTTAATTAATAGCAAGAAGTAGTTGAACCCTGTAAGGCCAGTTCAACCAATTATATTTTCAAGTTGAAGAGAAGTTTACGTAGTTCAACTACTTCTAACATTCATGAAATCCCGTAATTAATGAATTGGAGAGATGTAGCTGAACTACCTAACGCTAACTTAAATCCTGAATCATTGATTAAAAATAAAGATTGAGTATTTCAATCGGTAATTCAGTTTTTGAGCTGGCTGTTAGCAGTTCAGCGACCTCTCCAATTTATTAAATTCTGTCCCTGATTCCTAGACAAAAAAAAATGACAAATCCCAGGCCCTGGCCCCAATTTGTCACCAAAAAAACGTGAACGCTTAATACTTTTCTGCATTGGGAATGCACCAGATCAAAAGATTGACAGACTTGTTGACTTACCAACAACTGATTTATCTATGTACTGTCTTACTAACTGATTTACTGGCTGAACAAGCGAATTATAACAAGTTTAAATGATTTAATTTGACTTAAAAATCTATTGAATATGACTTTCAGATTAATTGAGTTACACATTTATTGATGGACTGATTGATTGTTAGTTCAACAAATTATAGGTATATAAACTCTCCTGGTGGAAGTGTAACTGCAGGGCTGGCAATATACGACACAATGCAGTATGTTCTACCTCCTATATCTACCTGGTGTGTAGGTCAAGCCTGTAGTATGGGTAGTCTACTCCTAGCTGCAGGAACACATGTAAGTATGTTCTACCTCCTATATCTACCTGGTGTATAGGTCAAGCCTGTAGTATGGGTAGTCTACTCCTAGCTGCTGGAACACATGTAAGTATGTTCTACCTCCTATATCTACCTGGTCAAGCCTGTAGCATGGGTAGTATACTCCTAGCTGCTGGAACACATGTAAGTTTGTTCTACCTACTATTTCTACCTGGTGTGTAGGCCAAGCCTGTAGTATGGGTAGTCTACTCCTAGCTGCAGGAACACATGTAAGTATGTTCTACCTCCTATATCTACCTGGTGTGTAGGTCAAGCCTGTAGTATGGGTAGTCTACTCCTAGCTGCTGGAACACATGTAAGTATGTTCTACCTCCTATATCTACCTGGTCAAGCCTGTAGCATGGGTAGTATACTCCTAGCTGCTGGAACACATGTAAGTTTGTTCTACCTACTATTTCTACCTGGTGTGTAGGCCAAGCCTTTAGTATGGGTAGTCTACTCCTAACTGCAGGAACAAATGTACGTATGTTCTACCTCCTACGCCAGGTGGGCAGGTTGTGTCGCTGTACGCCTGCCTGGCGGGTTGGACAATTCAGGTGGATTTTAATGATTAATATTTCACTCTTTCTGAATAATTATACACCTTACAAACGTCTTTTAGTTCTCAATTGATTCCTGAAAAATTTCCCTAATTAACTGCACTCTCGTGTCTAGCCAGACACTCCCTTTGATATTTCTTTGTTGAATAAAAAAGAACTGAGATATAAATGTATAGTAGTATCCCCTCAACGGACCGATAATTAATATAGTAGTGTTATGTACTTTTATTAAGATATTTACTAATTTAATAGAGACCCTGTTTTTAAGGCAACAAAAATGTTTTATTTCCAGGGCATGAGACATTCTCTTCCCAATTCTAGAATTATGGTTCATCAGCCCAGTGGAGGAGCACAGGGGCAGGCCACTGATATTCTAATACAAGTAGGCCAATAAGAATATTTTAAATCGGATTTTTAAACTTTATAATTGGATGATGATAATACTTTTGTTAAGGCCGAAGAGATTACAAATCTGAAGAGACAGTTAAACAATATTTATGTAAAACATACAGGTACAAATATAAGATATTTTTAGTATCTATATTTATGTATAAATATAGATGTATTTATTTATGTATAAATATAGATACTAAAAATATATATGTCCAGCAAGAAACTATATGAAATAAACAATAGAAAATGTTCTGAGCTTATTTAAGAAATATATATATTGCTTAAAGTTGTCTGTCTGTTCATCTGTCCATTTGTATCCAATAAACATCAAAAAACAGAACGGATTAAGCCCAAAAATGTTAAGGACAACTCTCATGACCGACATGACCCCAGGTAAATTTATTACAAACATTTGTCTCCAAAAATATTCGATTTTTGTAAAACTTTGAAAATCCACGAAAACATATTATTAAATATGCGAACATTTTTGTTATTGTTTTATATTGTATACAATACAAGATGCGCACAGATAAAGCAACAATTTAAAGTTAAAATAGAAGATGGGCGCTTGCGCCCTGAAAGCCTAGTGGTCTATACTGTAGAATAAAAGCTGCATCTCGATTTGTAAAATTTAAGATTGATTTGATTTAAAGTGTCGGTTTCTTGCTCTTGTAATTTCAAAGACCGATTCACGACGGTACCCTTAAAACCTTCAGTTTTTCTAGCTTGCCAGTATTTATTTCTGCGAATTTTCTTCTTTGTTTCTGTAGCAGAATTCCGCAAATTCCTTTCAAATAGAAACCATAATTGAAAGTATTAAATTCGTTAAGACTTAAAAAGAACAATTATGGATATTCGCGCATTTTTGATTGTGTCTTGAATCGGCCCTGCCTCGCTATTAATCATGTAACGTCTAGAGACCCGCCTCCAGATCATGAAACAGGCCGAGCCTCCTAGTTTCTTCACGGTTTCAATCGTTTAGATCGGTGGATCAAAGATATAAGTCTATTAAATGTTTTTTTTTAGGACAAACCTACGATATGATTGAATCTTCATTAGGCATATTTTCAAAATTATATGTTTTATATTAATATCTCCCAAAAAAAATGTTAATCGATTTGTTCACTATATAAGCAAGAAAATGAATAGTTTATTACTTATGTGTGTTAATGCTCTTATGCTTGTACTTCTTTTCAACCGTTAAACCTTGTTTCTGCATTTTATTTGTCGATCCCCTGTAATTATCTATTTTTTCTTTATCATTCATTTTTTTCCTCTTTTTTTCCCTCTTAATTCATTTTCTTCCCTTCTCCTCAGCCATTTTCTTTCCACCATAGGATTAATTTTTTTCCTCCTCATCATTTATTTTCTTACCCCCTCCATTGTCATTTTCTTCTCTCTTGATCAATCAATTTCTTCCCTTCTCATCATATATTTTCTTCCTTCATCATTCCTGTTTTTCCCTCCTCATCATTTATTTTCTTCTCTCCTCATCATTAATTTTCTTCACTCGCCTCATTCATTTTCTTCTCTCCTCATCATTCATTTTCTTCACTCGTCATTCATATTCTTCCCTCCTCATCAATCATTTTCTTCCCTCATCATTCATTTTCTTCCTCCTCATCATTCATTTTCTTCCTCCTCATCATTCATTTTCTTCCCTCCTCATCATTCATATCCTTCCCTCCTCATCATTCATTTTCTTCTCTCCTAATCATTCATTTTCTTCCCTCCTCATCATTCATTTTCTTCCCTCCTCATCATCCTTTTTCTTCCCCTTCATCATTCATTTCCTTCCCTCATCATTATTTTCCGTCCCTCTTTCCCATTCTGCGATCTGGATGTTTTGTTAGTAAAATTGGTCTTGGGAACCCATAGTAAAGTAAAATTTCCCTTTAAATTAGTTATAAATAATTATTAATTATTCTCTTCTTTTCGAATGTTTCAATAAATTTGAATTATTTCTCATTTTGATAATATTAGAACGAGACAAATTCATGAATCCTCAGCAAGCCTTAGAGTTTGGTCTTATAGGTTAGAAACATATCCATAAATTCAATTAATGTATATTTGACCTCCTCTAAAACCCCTACACTCACATTTTGTAAGAATATTTTTTTTTCATTCTAAAAAAAATATAACTTGTTGATTATTACTGAGACCATATCAATAAATTTGTTTGCTGGTTTTGAGAGATTAAAAGAAGCAAATATTACACCAGTGCAACAAACTTAAAAAATTGTATGTTTTAGATAAAATTTTGGAGCACCCGCCTAAGGGTGGAGAGGAGATAGAGAGGAAATGAAAGGGCTGAAATGTGTGCACAGTATACTGTCAATTTTTTCTTGTATGTATACTGAACAGTGTATTGTATTTTCTATGTACCATGTACACTAAATTGTATGATAAACATGTTATGTTGATTTGTTTGTATACTACGAAATAAACGCCGTTCTATTACGCATTATCATATTCATTGTAAGTTTAATCATTATAAAAACTAATAAGAAAAAATAACATAAATAGGTATTGATAATGCATGTTAAAGGGACTGTAAAGGAAAAATGAAAGGGGGTACAGGATGAAACCTGAGAATCTCAGGTTTTGAACGATACCTATAAGACATCTATCTTATGTTCCTGTCTCGAGAAATTGGCATAAATCTGTGTCAAAATGATACCAAATGCAGGCATATGCCAGATTTTTTATAAAAGTTTTAGTATTAAATAGATCATATTCAACAATTACGCAACCTATCTGATAACAATTTAATCCCACAGGAGCCTGAGAATCCCTGGTTTGCTAATATTATAATTTTTTATTTTGCATTTTGCATTTTCAATAGATATAATTGAAAATATTATTACATACAGTCCGTATAGTCTGTATTATGTCACAATAACTTCAGCCACTGACAGTGCAGTATTGTTGTCACGTAGTACAGACAGAAATCAAGTCACCAGTACACTGCACTGCCATTGGCTGTGGTACTAGTGACGTAATACGGACTATATGGACTAAATGTTATAATATATATCAATTATATCTGTAAAAAATGCAAAATAAAAATTAAATAAATATAACAAGAGCAAACCTGAGATTTTCAGGTTGTTGTGAGATCTTGTCGGTTTCAGATTGTTTGCATATTTGTGGAATATGATCTGTTTAATACTACAACATTTTTTACAAAATCTGGCATATGATGAATGTTTAGATAATGGATGCCTGACTCGCCTGACAATATTATGCCTACATTACTGAATGTCTTGCTAAAAATATGTCTATATTTCTGTTATATTTATCTATACACTCTGCTTGTCTGTCTGTTTATATCCAATAAACGGCTGAACCGAACGGGTCCAAATTTTGTGTGGGACCTTGCGCGACCACAGGGAAGGTTTGAGAATGATTAAAATTAAAGAAATTGTCCAAGTATATCATTTGTAGTTAACAGTTGTTTAATTACAGTACAGTTAACTGAGCACATAGGCAGGAAACTATCACCTCCCCCCCCTGGCTAAGACGTTGGCCCACGAAAGGCAAGGTTGGACCAATAAAATATGTAATAAATTATTTGCATTCTAGTAAAATTTCTTTTTTGCTTGAATATGTAGGCATTCAACTCGCTCTAATGTTTCAGGCATTATGAAATATCGAGGTCAAATAATATCTAGGCATTCACAAACTTGGCAATGTTACTGATCCAAATAATAATGCAGTTGAATTTGAATTTGTAAGGTGAATATTTGATATTTTCTCAAGTGGAAAAAATCGTCTTGTTTTGAAGTGATATTGTTTATCTCTGAGCTTCTCCCTCAGAGTGGCGCCTGGGTTGAACTTTTTCAGATGTGAAGGCTTAGACCTTTCATTATTAAACTATTTAATTATTTAATTGATTAACAAGGTTGTTTAACGTAAAAACACACCTTGATGTAAAGACAAAAGATAAGATTTTAATTTGCAATTATTTTGCTGGTAACACTGGAGCAACTACTAGCACTTAGACACTAATTTATCACCGTCATATGATCAGACTAAGGTTTAAAGGGAACCGTTGCGGACGCGTTTGTTATCTTATACATGGAGGGTCAATTAAAATTACATCATTATTCTATAGTTGTCTCTTTCTTATTCTATGGACTGCTGCAGATGTTTGGTACTTTCCCAAGTGGCAGCTTCCCAAAAGTGCAATTTCCCAAACGGCTAATTCCTAAGTCTATCTTAGCTGCAGTGCTCAGCCCCAATTGCAGCTTGCGGCGCCTCATGGGCCTAACCTAACCTTTGGGAAGTTACAGCTTGGGAAATTGCACTTTTGGGAAGTTGCCATTGGGAAAGTACCTAACACAGCAGAAAGTAACTCAGTTGTCCTGAATTCCCAATGATTAGATTTACTCTGAACGGTAATTTTGATTCAAGCGTTACATATTTTAAGCACTAATCTCCGTTTGTCTGTTTGTACAGCGCTACCAACATTAGACGGTAAAGACGACATGAAAGTCTTCAAATTTGACTTTAGATAACCCTGTATATCAAATCATAAGTCATAACTCATGAACCCTTTGACTGGTTTGTCTCAAATTTTGAATGGGGAACTCGGAAGAACCACGGGAACTTATTTAACATGGGTTTCAAGTTCTACTTTGAGTTGAGTTTATCTGGTAACTGTTTACACTTCAGAAATTCAAAACATTTTTTATTTCTCACAATAGCTTTCAAAAAAGAGAAATTATGGTTGAACATATTTAAGATTACTTTGATAACCAGAAAACTCTGGAGTAGGAAGACGACTTTATAGCAATACTCTAGTGTATTTGATGTTGTTACAAAGCAAAAAGTTTAAATAGACACTTGTTTAATCACTAATCAAGTGAAATGGGATTGTTTACAATGTACTATAGCTGTCTCATGCGCATTGGACTATTTAAAGTTAAAACCTCACTTTAATAGTCGTCTTCCTATTTCAGAGTTTTTGTGTTAACACTGTACAATTTAATGGGAAATTTACTTTAGTTAAACAGAATTCCCAAAATTCTATTTTGAACGTTTTTTTTCTCAATATTATTGATCCTATTAGGATCTGTTATTAGATTATAAATGTCCGATATTGTACATTAACCCTATCCCTGCTGGGGTACTTGAAAACCAGGATACGCTGGGGGGGGGGTCAATTTGACCCCCCCCTCTAAATCCCATGTTTTATGTCCAAATATGACAAATGATACATCATTAGAAAGCTCTTGTGCTCTACTTTTAGAATCTGCAAAAAAAATTGCAAATTTGCGAAAATTGAATTTTTATCGCAAAATCCAGTTTTATAGTAAAAATGTTTGCAAAAAAAAATTTGTCCAAAAAATGAAAAATTATACATTTTTGAAAAGCCCTTGACCATGCCATTCTAAATATGCAAAAGGTTTTGCAAAATTTTAAATAACCTGATTTTTAATCAAGAAAAACTAAAAATGTGCAAATTTCCTTTGACAGGTTGTTTGCAAAAAATTTGCAATTTTTTTTTCGCAAAACTTGTGCAATCCGTTTCCTTATGTCATAGGCTTTCCAAAAAGCTAAATTTTATCAAAATCTGACAAGTGAAAGTGCGTCAAAACAAAGATTTAGTTTGTTACAGGCAAAAGCAGTCATTCAGGCAGTGTGCCTGAGGACTCAGGCAGTTAGTATTAAAGCCCGGTTTTAGGCCTAAAGGGAGGGCTTTGGGTATGTAAGAAAAGTCAGAAAATTTCAACAGCCTCAGACCAATACTTTTTGAGTTATGTAAAAAAAACTACAGGGGGGGGGTCAAATTGACCCCCCCCCCCCAGCAGGAATAGGGTTAAAGGATCTATAAAGATAAGATTATCAATTCATTTTCCGATATTTTACAAGGTTAGCACACTAATAATCAGATTGCAGAGATACAGGGTGTCCCACGAAACATGACAGTTGATAAATAGTTTTGAATGTCGTCTTCCCTATACTGTATTAGATATTAAAGGCTTTTTATTTCGTTAGAAAAATCTTTTGTTTAAATATATTTTACTTGAAATCAATTATACTACAAAATGACTCCCAAATAATATTTTTACTATTGTCTTTGGTATCAAACAACTCAACATATATTATGGAAGAAGACATTCTAAACTAATTCACAAACTGTCATGTTTCGTGGGACACCCTGTAACATTACATCTTCTTTTATCTTAGATTCGTTGCTCCCAGCAATAATATTCGGTACACTTGTATCTTTCAAAGACTTAGTTTATGATAAAATATAAAATTTAAAGTAATTAAGTCGTCATTAAAGACTCATTTTCTGTGGACAACCCTGTATTTATTAGAAAATAGCATGACAACATGCTTCAGAGGTTTAAAGATTGGATTTAGTACAACTGAGAAGATTAAACAGTAGATAACTTATATAACCTGGGATATTGAATAATATTATACAGAAGAACACACACTGTTTTTAGTCTAATAATTGAGAAATTTGTTTTTTTTGCGGTTCGGTTAGTACTTAGGGGTACTATAAGTGACCTGCAATTAGGGAATCTTATGACGTATTTCTAAAGCTGTATCAAACTCTTTCACAGTTCTAGAGTTGGTTACTCGGGATGCACTCCAACGTACGGAAAATGTCGTCTCCTTAGCATAGACAGATAGAATCCTCATATGACGTCGCTAATTATAGAGGCGAGCGTGACGTCATATGCGGATTCTTGAACCCTCATGCTATGGAAACATTTATACATATTCAATTATACTTTTTTCATCCATAAACTTTGATGTAATATATTTTTTTATTAATTTAGCAAAACAAACTTCCGGAATAAAACTTTTTTGAAAGATTAAGCTTATAATTGCTTACACAAATCACTTAAAACCAATGTAAAATTTTGAATTGTTAATTATTAATCATGGATGCAAAATATACCTGAGGAAACAATTGAAATCTTTGATTTTCAAGATTTGCTTGTTAAAAATATCCTAATATAAATATGTTGGATAAAAGATATATAAAAAAGGTATAAAGCAAATGGAAACATGCTTGAAATCGATCCTTATTCATAAACGGATTTAAAAACGTTAAAACATCAGTAAAATTATTTTGTTTGTGCTACGCCAGTGTTTCTTAGATTTGCCATGTGACGTTCTTGACAAAAGGTTTTCAGACGCCATGTTGGATCAGGTTCCACAATGCGCAATCTGTGCAATTGCCGCGCTCATTGGGATTCTGTCATTCTTCTGGATTACACAAAATCAATCAATCAGGAAAACTTCAATAATGAAACTTCATAATAAATAATTATCCAAAAGTCATCTACTTTTAGAGTTCGGAGAGGGGGGAAAGGCAAGCCGCACTGTATAGCCTTCATCCCGCAATTTACTCACTCAAATAGAGTTGCGGCAACGCCCTCACCCGTAGCACGTCCTAGCCGTACCCCCATATCCTCCGGCTAAATGTCTTGCAATTTTATCCTAAAATATAATATTTTGTACATGCCTGTTGATGTTAATCTTCTCTAAAAATGTTTTTGAAGGAAGAGAGAAATTCAATTTTTACCAGAAATAACACAGTTTTGTGTAGAATTCGGTTTAAAATTATCTAAATCTATCTATCTATCTATCTATCTATCTATCTATCTGTCTATCTATCTATATNGAGGAGACTTGTTTACAAAATACTATATTTTAGGAGGTAATCGCACTAAATCACAGTTTTGAACAAATATTTAACAACTTTTCCCCAAATATACAAGAACTTTTACTTATATAAATATGATTAATATTATTATGTTATAATAGAAGCCATGACGTCTATTAAATCTTAAATAAACGCTGCATTCCTCTTTAATAAGCATTCAGAAGTTAAGACATATTCCCGGAAGATATAATGAGTGCTGCTATGGAAGCGCTACAGGAGAGTACGTTGCCGCAAGTCTATGTTTGTGAATAAATTGCGAGATGGAGGCTATATGTACAGGTACGGCTTGCCTTCCCTCCCTCCCGAAAAACACATCAAAAATAACACATTTACTTATTTATACATTGTCGTTGCATTAATCTTTATCCGATAATTCTGTAAAGTAACCAGCGGGCATTGTGCTTTTTCATGGGGTTTTTAACAAACGTCACTTAGAAACCGAAATATTACATTTTTAAGTATTATAAAGGTGTATTTAACACTTCAGTTCAAAATCAAAATAATACCGAGTCTGTGGCTCAAATTCTTTAAAATCGGCCTCTGATAGATTAATAAATTTATTGGAACTCATCTTTCTTTTTTTTACTTATAGTCTTTAAAACGAAACCTTAATTGTTTCAAGAATAAAATTAAACCCAAAAGAAGACGACCCATCTCAATAATGCTTATAAACAGCTTGTTTTAAAAATATGAACATACAAATACAAATTTGTCATTTTTTAAATAACTTTTTAAAATAAAATTGATTGAAAGGACCCAGAGAGGGACTGTACAAAGTTTGATGTCAAGTAAGTTATACAATTATAACATAAAAGACGATTTTTGAGTCAAATGGAATTTTTTTATCTACTATTGATAGTCAGCCATGTGTGTTTACAATCTTTACTATATTCTTGAAATTTATCATTAAAATATTTTTTTCGTGCTGCCCTCACAAGGCGAGTATACACTGCATTATATTCTTTAAATCTAGATTTAGTTTCCTGACAGGGTTTCCTCAACTTTTTATTAAACAATTTGGCTTTACGTTTTCTTGATATTATCAGTGCTTCAGACATCCAGGGGTTAAAAGGTCTATTTTTTCTGGAAGGATTTACATTTTTTTCAGGGAATGAACATTCGAAACAGTTATCAATCGAACTCATGCTAATTCAACTGTATTGTAAGTAGGACCATATTTTTACCATGTTTTAGAAAGCGAGGAAGTTTACCCGAACTGAAGATTAAGAATAAGCCGCGACCATCACCTGTTCCAAAACAAATTAATTCGCTTCGAGGAAAACAAGATATAACTAGATTAACTCAATCCTGATTGGAATATTTTTTTCTAATATAAATGGGGGGGAGGGGGTTGTGTTGTTCACCCTACGACCACCTCCCTATGATTTTGAGATAGGGAATAGTATCCCTAGTCCAATTTTTCAAGACCTTCTCCTTAAAAAAACACCTCAATCTGTAATGGTGAGGTGAGGGTGCAAGGGCCAAAGGATTTTAAAAATTCGGAAAATTAAAAAAAAATATTTTAACGTCTTAGGACTGTTTGGATCTTTGGCAATTGTGGGAAGGGTTACATTTGTAAAGATGATTTTAAACCAAAATAAACATTAAAGATTTAAACTACATAAGTGTTTATGATGAGACTTTCAGGATTTTCGAAATTTTTTCAAATTGTTTTTTAAAATACAATTAGAACTTTTTTAGTTGAAATAACTTTCTGTATCTTGATCTCCAAAAGTTATTTGTTTGGTCATTTTAATTTCTGTAAAGTTCAGAGCACAAACACCGTAAGACGATCCCACGAAATATGACAAATGAATGATGACTTGAAGGTCGTCTTTAATCTGTAAAAAAATGCGGTATTCATTAGTCAACCTAATTTTTCATGTATTGTTCTTGAACAAATTATTACAAAACTTCTCAAGTCCTGGCCTTTACAAAATGTGATCTGTCTTTTGTGCTTTTAACTTCTAAAATTATATTTCCAAATTATTGCCACAAATTATTTCAATTTTCAAAGACGACCTTCAAGTCGTCTCTCAACTGTCAAGTTACGTGGAACATCTGATATCTTAAATTACTTAAAATATAAAAAAGTATTTCCGTGAAAATTGATTCAGACCATGATCTTGAACTTTCTAAATTGTCCAAACATCGAAATAATTATGAACTGAGAATAATATATCTCAAATTTTTGGTTTAATGTTTGACTAGGAATCAAGAAATCAATGAGTGTTGACCGAAGAAACTCAGAAGATAATATTAGCACAGGAAAGTAAAAAAAAACATGTAAATAATGATGAAACAAAAATAATCTATGTTCTTAATTTGTTAAGAAAGGTCTTTTAAAAAAAATGTGTATATTGAAAAAATATATGACTTGCAAGTAGGGCTGGGTTTCGTTCCAGGGGAACGATCGTTCTTTCACTGGAACGAACGGTCCGGAACTAAAAGAACAATCAAAAAAGTTTTCATTTTTAAATAATGGTTCCTGGTTCTCCCTGAACCTGAACCAAAATATTTTTCTAAAAAGGAAAGTATCAAGTTTGAAGCTTTCATTCATTGCCTGTGAAAGAAAGCTAAAAGACTAAATAAAATGTGTACAGTCGTTTCTAGAGATAACCTTTATAATGATTAATTAATCAATTGAACAGTTATACAGGGTTTCCCACTAAACATCCATAGAAACAAAACAACTTAAAGAAGGTCGTCTTTAATCGTTGAAATAATTTACGGCATTAATTTGAAATTTTAGAAGTAAAACCCCAGAGTTAATAGTCAACGAAAACCCCCTATTCCCCTATTCCTGGCATTTTCAAAATGTGGTCTGCCTTTCTTGTGCTTTCATTATTACCGCAGAATGATTTGGAGAATTTTGTTCATATTTCGACAATTTTGGTTTCATTTAATAAAATTGAAGATTAAAAGAAATTCTCAAAATCGGTATTGTTGAACAAACAAAAAAAGCAAATACCATATTTAAAACATCCTAGGACTAGGGGAATGTTGAGGTTATTGTTTCAAGAACTATAAATGTGAAAGAAGCTTGACGACTGAATGTCACAAATAAATTCAAAGATCAAAGACGGCTTTCAAATCGTCTTGCTACTATCATGTTTCGTGGAACACCCTGTATCTTAAAGAAAACAATTTAACAGCTAATTTTAGAGATAACTTTTTTTATTAAAATCCTGGCATGTTTAGGTTGTATGATGGATCTTGTATTTGTTGAAGTGCTGGATAAGTTTGATGGGAGTGGAATATGGGGATCCAATTCTAAAAAATAAAATATTAATTCATTATATATATATTTATAATATTCCTATATGTACGTATATAATACTTTTTCATTGCTCAGTGTTTTTGTTCTTACAATAAAGTTTTGTAATAATGTTGTGGATTTGTAATTATACTAAAACTCCTGAATAGGAAGACGACTTTTAAAAACAAGTTATGACTCTAAATTGTTGATCAAATGAACATGAGACACTGTATAATCAAATGGTAGGGCGGGCCTATTGTTTTACTAAGTACAACCGTGTGCAGTCAAAACATAAACAAACAAATTGTAAACATAGCAGACGAAACTCTTACAGATTACAGCTTTCTCATTAGGTATCACTATACTAAATCAAAGAATTATTTAAAAAGACGATATCGAATTCGTCACTGAATTCCCATGTTTTTTGGGACACCCTGTATAATAATATAATTATATGTTTTCTGGTCATTAAGTATTAGCTTGTGCAAAAAAACATCAAGTTGTCTCTGGCTTAATTTTTATGTCTTAACCAAATATGAAAACTTTAGGGTAACAAATGCAAAATGTCTATGAAAGGGTGTCAACAGCAAAAATAACGAAAAAAACATAAGACTTTAAGTGCTTCTGATATCTGTTCCCTTTATGTTTATCTGTCAAAAAAAATCGATTTTCGAGAAAAATTTAATTTATATATTCAATTCATTTTTATTATTCAAGATTTTAACAAAAGATTGCATAAATTATTTTATATATACACTGTATGAATTTTATCATTAATAATAATCAACATGTTTAAAAGGTTTAATCAAGAGCGAAAAGGAGGAATTTTAACGACTAGTTATACAGTTAAAGATATCACATAATAAATATCTATATGCAAATTGGCTTTATATACTGGTAACCTTAGGTGTAAATGCAGTAAAGAGACACTTGAGCTATCACAATTTAACCCCGGGAAAGAGAATTTTACCAGTTTTTTAAATAAATATTTTGGATTAGAAAGTTTGCATTGAAATTTCGCAATATCATTTTTTTACAGCAGGGATTACATCATGATAGAGATCATAAGGATATTGTCAAGGATCTAGCTCAAAATCCTGAGGGTAGAGAGGATCTAGCTAAAGATCCTAAGGGTAGGGAGGATCTAGCTAAAGACCCTGAGGGACCGCATGAGGGTTGTGAGGACTCCAGCTAGTGCAGTTGCCTTCTTCATAAGAATATTCATTGAGGGATCGTTCATATCACGACCAATTGCCATACTTGCAGCCTGGAAAATATTGGAATATAATATAGTACAGTGAGAACCATAACACTGTGAAATAAAAAGACGACTTTAAGACACCAATTTTGATTTAAGTAGTCCATGTTGGACATAAAACACAACAGTTGTGCTGAGGCTGACCATACCATTTCACTTTATGAGTTATTTCTAAGCTATTTACGTTGAAACCACATCAACTATACTTAAATATTGCTTTAGTGTCGTCTTCTTATTCCATATTTTCTGGACCTCACCGTAGCAAATAAATAGAAAACATCGGTGACATTATTATACTTAACAAATTAAAGTTTACAAAATTACTCGGACCCATCTAACTACAGATAAACCCTAAATAAGCCATACATCGAACGAATAAATCAAAAGTCGTATTCTTTACTTTCTGATTATGAAATGTTGCAGATATTTAGTTTTTTAATTAAATGATTATATGGAGCTCTTTAAAACTGTTCCCGCATATTCATGGCTATTTATTTATTTTCGCAAATACTGAAATTTACGTAATATAGTATAAAACCCATTGAAAATTGTCAAGACGACATTTGATAAATTCCTTCGATGTTTGGCTCATTTAGGGTTTAACTGTACATAAGTTTATTTTCAAGCTACTAGGGAACGAACCTATTAGAATTTTAATTTTCGCATCGAATTATGTTATTTTTGTTTTCAGAAAATGTGAGCATGAAATGCATGATTTTTGAAAATTTACTATTTTCTGCATATTTTAAAATACAGACTAAAAGCCTTCCAGAAATATTTAAATTGTTATGTACAGGTTTGTCCACAAAGAATGAGACTTGAGAACGGAATTTAAACTGTCTGTTTCCTTATATTCACGAACTCATCGCAGGTGTAAACTTTCTTTGCCAATTCATTAAAGAAGCCATTACAAAATTATTTGTATGGCAGAAGACTTCTTTTAATCTTGAGATCGTCATATTCTTTGAGTTTTTAGTTTGTCTTTACATCTCATTCTTTGTGGGTAGCCTTGTATAAATATACGACACAATAGGAAAAAGAGAAGGATTGCAAAACTAAAACTTTGATAAACTTTTTTTGACTTTGTTATGTTTACTTTATGTTTATTTCTTACCTGTAAGGTTTGAAGGTAGGTTTTTGCTACATCTTGGACTTTGGCAATTAGGTTGACCGTCTGGCTCGGGGTCACAGAGTACACAGCACAATCTCTGGATATATTACCTGGAAAATAATTTTTAACGCTTAAAATTGAGGAAATCCCTTCAAGGAACTCGCCATTATAGAGTGGTATGTCCGATTCACAACAGTGCCCATTTTTAATCACATAAAGGTTTTAAGTCACTCGAAAGGTTTTAAGTGACCCTCCAAGCTAAGAGGACAATACCCGATTCACAACGGTACCCTTAAAAGTTTTTTCTGATCAAGCCTGAATTAGATATCAATGTCTACAATTATGAAAACTAATTATTTGGAATTAATTGTTGTTTCTCTACAAAAGTGACTTGCGCATTTCTACTGCAGCAAGACATATTGATACTTTAAACCCATAGAATAACAGCAATATCCTCCATATTATTATTCAGATAAAGGGTTCAATTTCAAGGGTAACGTTGTGTATCGGGCATTGTCAAATTTGCATGGAGGTTCACTTTTGAAATTACGCTTACAGTCCCTTTAAGAAGTGGAGAAATATTGGAAAAGTAGAAATTTCAACTCTAAAGGTTTCCATCACAAAATCATCCAACATAAAGGAAATGTGAATTATTTATGAAAGGAATAAATCTTACCAATTCGATCAATCATATGCACGCAATGATTTAGACACTCGATCAGTTGATCTTCCGACTCTGTTGCCGACTTTACAAAGAGTTTGGACGCTGTAACAAATTGCCGAGCTTCTGTCGTTAAAAGATCTCTGGATTTTAAATACTTCTCCTCATTTTGTCGGAGTTTATCACTGGAAAAACACAAGGCTTGGGAGTCTTGAAGATGTTGGTTTACTTGAGAAACTACACTTTCAGCCTTCTTAAATACTAGTAAACGTTCTCGATGCTTCTGTGCATCAATATCTAAATCAGGTTCATCAACACTTGTTCCTTCAAGGGAATCATCAGGATCAAAATCACTATTTGTGAAAACATCGTTATGAAGGCCGTTAAATATGTGTCCGTTCACATGACCGTTAATCTGACCGTTTTTCTTGAGTATTGGTTTAGGACTTGAGCCTGCAGAGGGAGGGTTGTTAGAATACCTGGAGCTTAGTCTTGGACTTGTTAAACCGTTAGAATGAGAGTATCCAAGAGAAGATTTGGGTGATGAACTGGGCGGGGGAACTGGAAGTTTCCGTCCAAGACTTAATCTTTCAGTTGACGGAGGTGCTTTCAGTGGAATGGTATGTTCACTGGATCTACGCTGTGTTAGGGGACTAGGGCTGGCACGGCTGGGAGAGGGATGTGATATCCGTCCAGGTCTTGGACTAGATGGTGGAGTTGGAGCTGCTGGTCTTACTGTACCAGGAGAGGTTCCAGGAGGAGCAGGTGGAGCTGGTAGGGCTCTTCCCGGTGAAGGTTTGGTTGGAGATATTGGTTTACTAACTCTGGATGGAAGAATTGGTTTGGGACTACTCGGGATATGGAGGGGAGGAGGACTCAGTTCAGAATATCCATTAACTGCAGGTTTAATTGGACTTATTTGTCCAGTCTTGAACGGACTGTTAGAAACAAGTTTAGATCCAATCTCTGGTATATTTGGGGAAACTACAGAAGCTACAGGAGCTACTGGAGGGAGAGGTGGTCTAGGATTAGCACGAACTGGAGAAGGGCGAGGAGGGAGTGAAGGAGGGTTCTCTTCTGCCGGAGAAACTGATTTAACTGTGTTCACTGATGCACATGATGAGATTGAGTCACTACTCGAGGTCATACTCATCTTAGAAGGACTACTCGGAGATCTTTTAGTGTCAAGATCTTCTATAGAGGTACTTATCTTACTATTCAGCTTAGATGCCATAGCTTTTACATGAACCTTATGCACAGGAGCTGAATTTAACATAATATCATCCTGAGAACTAGACTTGACCAGGCCACTAGGTGGTCGAACTGGTGTAGATTTCCGTCCTAAAGTGCTTGATGAGTATTGTTTAGGTAGAGAAGATCTAGGAGGTGGTGGGGGAGGAATTTCACTAGTTTCAACTCTAATAAAAGGTTTATGCATGTCCGGGCTACTAATGTGTCTCATAAATATTTCTCTCTTACTTTGAACACCACCTTTGGGAATATTGGAAGAGGAGGGCTTTTCATCCAATTTTTCCTTGCTTCTCTGGGATTGGTCTTGATGCGGACTTTTCTTTTCTATAATTGGATATCCGAATTTATCCTTGACCAGGCTTAGGGCCATATCCTTCCCACCCGACACTTCCTGGCCTTTAAGAAGACTTATTCTTTCCTGTAGGGTCGCAACCTTGGGGGAGTCTCTGTTTGGTTTGTGATTCCTGAGATCTTTCACCTCCCTAGAGACTTTCATCTCTTGAACTTCTCGTTCAGTATTTGGCATAGACCCACCTGGGTTACCTTGTCCAGGGGGAGGGGGGATGATAAAGGCCGAAATATCTTCTGTTGTAAGCTCAAGGATAGGTGAGGACTGTTTGTAAACAAGTTTAGCTCTAGAGGGTGGAGGAGGAACTGCCATATTTGCGATAAATGAATCGATATCATCAGACTTGAGATGCCGAAGAGCTGCTAAGGTGGGACCATCGGTTTCCACCAAATCTGGCATTGTTAGACTAGTGATAGATATCTCTTCAGGGTCTCTCAGCCTCTCTAGCTGCCGAGCTAGTTTAATGCTACCTATCTCTCGTTCTATAGCTAGTAGTTCAGCTTCAAGGCTTTCCCTGTCTGCAAATGGGGTTGGAGGAGTGCTGACTGCACTTGTAGGAACTGGAAACATTCGACCTGAAGGCCCGTCCTGAAATATCATTATTATAAAGGGATTTTTTTAATTAAGACCACTGCTCAAACTGTTTTTATAACTTGAAAAAAAATCTTTCCTTACATTATTTAACAAAATAATGGTTTTGAAACATGTATTCGACTTCTTAATTAACAAATAAACACCTTTTCATTTGAGAACGGATGGTCAAATAAAATAACTTATATGTACATATAAAAAATTTACAACATTCGATCATAAGAAAACAATGAGGTTCTGGCTTAAAAACACAATATTTTGGTTTGCATTTCTAAGCGTCAAGATTGGTCTGGTTTTCTCCATTTCCAAAAACTGGCACATTTTATGAAACTTTCCAAATTTTATATGACTGTTTTCATAACATCAAATTATGGGTTGGATACAGTGATAACCAAAAAACAGTGGAATTCTCGTTGTCTTCTTTTCCTATAGGTTTATGAAAATCGCTCAGAATTTTTTTAATTTGTAACTGAACTATTTCTAAAAAAATCGTGGAGTATCGTTGATCTTACACAGATGATTTCGATATTCAATGTGTGCACTTTTAAATTTGAGGATAAATGCTTGATTCCTCAAGTAAAGTTGTTCCTGCAGTAATGTTCAATACGGTATATCGATCAGAAATGAATACGTAGATCTGCATACGATGGAGATCAATAGAAAATTAAAAAATCTTTGGCGACATTTTGTAAAAAGAAAAACACAGACGACATTCAGTCAACAATTTTTTGGTTCTCACTGTATTTATAATCATCACCTCATCCGGGGTCATTGGTGGAGGTATCATTGTTAGATCAATTAGATCAGGATCAAGAACTAGGTTTCTTTCTTTAATATTCTCATTCAAGGTCGGGTTCTCTCGAAACTTTCTCAGGAGCATCTGCAATCATTAGAACTTTGTTCATCTCATTAAAGGGACTGGATACGTTTTTTCAATGAATCTCCATTTCAAGAGGTACAGGGTGTCCCACGAAACATGACAGTTGGTGAATAGTTTTGAATGTCTTCTTCCACATACTGTATTTTAAATTAAAGATTTTTCGCAGTTTATTTCGTTAAAAATTCTTTCACTTAAATATGTTTTACTTTGAAATCAAATTTACTATTTTATGAATGCCATATAATATTTTTTATTATTCTCTTTGGTATCAAACAACTTAACAAATTATGGAAAAAGACATTTAAAACTATTTACCAACTCTCATGTTTCGTGGGACACCCTGTATGTTAAAATCTAATGTGTTTTACATAACTCAGAAAGTATTGGTCTGAGGCTGTTGAAACTTTCTGACTTTTCCTAAATACCTATAGCTTTCGCCTTTAGGTCTAAAACCGGGCTTTATACTAATTGCCTGAGTCCTTAGGCAGACTGTATAAAAGACTTCCTTTTAAAATTTTGCTAATATTTTTGTGTATTTGAAATGGCAGGATAAAAGGGTTTTCAGAAATGTATATTTTATTATTTTTTGGACATTTTTTGCAAACATTTTCACCACATCACTAGATTTTGCAAAAAAAAATCAATTTTTCAAATTTGCAATTTTTTGCAGATTCTAAAAGTAAAGAACAAGAGCTTTACAATAATGTATCATTTGTCATATTTGGACATCAAACATTGAATTAAGATGCGATGGTCAAATTGACCTCCCTCCCCCCAACGTAACCTGGTTTTCAAGTACCCCAGCAGGGATAGGGTTAACTTTGCCAACTACCTTAACTAAGGATACTTTAATTTTATTTTACAAAAAAATAAATACCGATTTTTCATTCAGTTGATTCTAAAAAGGAATTTAGTCTTTGCCACAAATTTTGATTTTCTAAACTCTTTATCTATGAAGCCCTATAGTCGTATGCCTTAGATATTTCAAACGATGAATTCTGTTAGATCAAATATTCTAAGTTTAAAAAATCAAAGGTTTACACTATCCGATGTAGGATTGGAAAATTTGAATTTTTGGTAAAGACTCAATTCCTTTCCTTAAAAAATAAATACCATTGTTCCCTTTTATTGATAATAACCCCAATGGTGTTGTTTAGATTGAAAAGAAATCAAAGAATTTTTATTTACAAAATTCCATTTCTTTCTATGCCAACTTTTATCGGAGAATTCCCCTTAATGCCAGTTTAATAAGAGGACCCTGCACTTAAAGGGAGTGTCCAGCAATGTATGGTAGTAGAACTGAGATTGCATAATTATTGAGAACTTTTTTGCGATTCATTTTAGACGTTTTTACGGTGCACATTTGTTCAGCAAGGGCACAAATGCAATCTTTAAAATCCTCATAGATTGTCCATTTTCAGTAATGTCCCAATGTTCAAACCATTCGCTGTAGATTTCCTTGAATTTTTTATGAAAAGACGATATTTAAAGAATTTAAAGAAATCTGCGAACAAATTCATTAAGAATAAGAAAATCAATATAATGTTGAAAAAGAAACAATTGATTTTAACATTGATTTATTAACAAATTTCCAATGAGAAATATGTTCCTAAACATCTAATTAGTTTACTGTAGAAATTTTGTTCATTTTTCTTCTTCGTTTTTGAATAACTTTCATAAAACCGATTCTCAAAACCATTCCTCCAAAATGGTCAATCAATGAGGATTTTAAATATTGAATTTTCACTCTTGCTGAACAAATATGCACTGTAAAAACGTCTGATAGATCTCAAATGAATCCTAAAAAATGTCTCAAATACTGTAATCTCAGTTCAACTACCATACATTGCCGGTCACTCCCTTTAATGGTTAGAAGGGGTATTCAAGGAAGAAGGGTATGAAAGACAATCTTCTGGTTTTTACATCTATTCCAAATCTACACTATCTATCTATCTATGATAGCTCACCAAAGCTGAAAAAATATTCTGCCTCTGGATATGTATGACTAGAATAATAAAAAATATGGATAAAAACTATCCCAGATTTAAAAGTGATTGAATGTAATATTTTAAATTTTACCTGAACGTCGTCATTAAAACTATCTGGGCTGTGTAGACCAAAACTGGAATCACTATGCTTCAGCATTGATTTTGCAGGATTTCCAGGTCCGCCATTTTGTTTTGATAGTTCCATCTTGGTTTCAGTGAGATCTTGAACCGGTTCTGTCACGTCGTATTCCTCCTCCTCATCTTCTGGGTCCTGAGAATTAGAAAGAAAAATAAAAAAAACACTATTTTTTGTTCTCACTTTCTTAGAGAAAATACAAGACTTGTACTCATATATATACATACTTTTAATCTTGGGGATCCAGAAATGTGAAATATAAAGACGACATGTTGGTATAATTTACCAGTAGCTAGAAATTCAACCTATCAAGGGTAAAGGGTCTAATTACACTGCAAAATTTCTGCGAATCATGTTTATTGGACTTTAAAGGAATAGAGTCTGTGCCACAAACTCCAATTTTATAATTCATATATCCTTGCAACCTGATAATGTAAACCTTTGATTTCTAACACTTAGATTATTTGATTTAACAACATTAGGTTGCAAAGAATTAGGAATTCGAAAATCAGAGTTTGTGGCAAAGACGCTAATCCTTTCCCGGATTTACCTGAGTGAGCAGTAACAATGAATCACTATGTTTCAAGGTTCCATAGTTCGAGGATCTCTCCGACCCAGTCAATGATTTATCAGTCAGGACGGATTCTGCATCTGTTGTCTCTCCGTCAGTCAAATACTGTCCAGTCGACTGAAAAGTAATATTGCAGAAAACGTTAAAAATGACAAAAACTATTTGGAAATATTATGATCATAAAATTGCTACCAATTACTACTATTAAGATACTGAGTTTTTACTACAAATTCAAATTTTTAATCCCTCTATCTTTGCACCTTTGATATTTATAACTTAATATGACTCTTTGATCTCGCAGAATTCATAGTTTGAAATATCAAAGGTCTCTAACATCATGAGTTGCGGAAATATTGGATTTAGAAAATCCACGTCTTCATGGTAAAAACTAAATTCCTTATTTTATTATAATAAAAAAACAATGCTTGGTAATTTGCAATTTTACGATAAATTTCATTAATGATTTTTATTATTACTTAACTGTAAAAAAAGCCTTTACACTTTGTTAATTATTTCGAATTATCGAAAGCAATTCGAGGTCACAATTTGTTAAATCCCTTACCATAACATTCTCAACATTCTGTTCGAAATGTTCGAAAATAAGACAAGCTAGATTTACGAACAATATTTTGAGTTTATTAACCCTATATCGATGTCCCCCTATGGTTTTTAATTATAACTTAAAAACAGCTTTCACTAGAAGACTCAAACATCTCAACATTTTCAATTTCCTAATTTTGCAAAAAAAATAATTTCGGCGCATATGGTAGAGTAGAGGACATAAAAACAGCTAGTCGGTATTTCAAAATATAAAAAAAAGTCAATAACTTTATTAATTAAGCTTCAGACCTAAAACTTATATATTTGAAACCCCCTTGAAAAATGGATGCAATAACTTTTTTTAACTTTTTTTAAGACCTACCTAGCACCATGACCATTAAAGTTAGAATAGGAACATGTATCTCACACCTCATATATTCTCAACTTTAAGGTGAAAACTATCCCCCCGCCCCCCCCCCATTTATTAGAAAAAATAGCCCAATCGGAATAGAATTAAGAAAATGTTTTTACTTGAAGTATATGCTGCATCTCCACCACTCTCCTGATAACCTCCTCGTTCTTAGCCTCCAGCCTCTCCTCTCCTCTCTTCTTGAGGATAGAGGCCGGACCTCCTTCAGATTTGGAATATCTCCCTCCAAAAGTTGAGTACGGAGATGCAGTCAAATTTGCGTTATCCTCATTCCTAATCAAATAAATGAATCCAAAATTGTTTATACTTTTAAAATCTAAATAATCTACAAAAGCTACAAAAGCTACATCTTCTTTGATGTACACTTTTTGATTGAATAGCATGCAACCGAAAACTAAAGACGGTATACGTAATTACTCTATAGTTGTAGGTTTGATTCACGCTGGTGTAAATTTGTGGTTTACAAACTCTAAAGAAATTGGGGTTTTACCACAAACTCAAATTTTCTAATCCCTATTTATTTGCAACCTGATATTGTAGACCTTTCATATTCAAACTTTTTTCACAAAATAGAATTCATTGTGCTGCAAAGATATAGAGACTAAAATATCAGAGTTTGTGACAAAGACTTAAATCCTTTCTAGCTAGAGAAAAAAAAGAAAATCTTCTAAATTCTTGATCAGAGAAAGGTTTGAATTGTATCATACAGTGAATCCCAGATGTATGAAGACATAGCAAGAGCTTTTTATAATGTCGTATTCGCAACATATTTAGAATCAAAGAACGCTGAACAACGAGTTCAATATATCAATTGCATGTCCTTCATATTTCAGGGCTAATAATTGATCTTGAATTAAAAATAAAAGGCGGTTTTTTATTATTTTTCAAAAACCTATGACTCTACAGTGATGTTTGGATATATTTTCACAAATCGTATGCAATCCTTTGAAGCTGCGAACACCTCAGCAGCTTTCTTTTTGTGCAGACCAATGATGCGGCATTACATCTGTCATAAATTTTTAGATTAATTTTCAAGACGACATCTCGTGCGTTCTTGCTATTTATTCTTATATGTGAGATTGACTGTAGTAAAAAAGATAAGGAGACACATGTCATTAGGTCGACATTTTCTTTAAGCTTTCTCAGAATTATCATGTTTCGTGGGACACTCTGTACTCTTTTTTGTAGAACTTACGTTATATTCTTGTTTTTATCCAGGTTCCCTGGTTCCCCATTAGAGACCATACTCGTGTCTCCATCAGAACCAGAACCAGAATCAGAACCTACCAAGGGAGCTTGAGGACTAGGAATCTGAAAAAAAATATAGTTTTCCAAAGTTTTAACCCATCTGCGAAAAATGTTGCACCGCGTTTCACACAAAAGTGAGTTTGTAAATTTTTATTTTTATTGATAATGCACGAACTGTAATACAAATGTAGCATCTTTTTAACATGTTTAAAATGGCATACCCATTACCCAAGCACTTATTCAAAACATATAATTGTTGTGTTTTGCTTAAAAATTTTTTTGTATTTAACTGAATGTCTTTAAAAAATCTTTTTTTTAGAAAATTGACTTTCCAAAAATATAAAATTGTTAAAAATGAATGTTAAATAAGATGAATCGTAATTCTTCATTCTACTTTTTTATAATAAAATTCTTATAAATGATGCGACACAAAGACAAAATAAGTAAAAAGCTGCAGAAATCTATTAAAAACCAAATTACCTTGAAACCTGGAGGTGGAGGATGGTAGGGTGGATGAGCTCCTAGATCTACTGAATGATCAGGATGAGCAGTATTATCTCCTGATCGAGGGTAATTCCAACCTTGGCTGCGGACACTGTGCTCTCCGCAATAAGGAGGGGCTGAAATAAAACTGGATTATCTTTTTATATCGTTTATGCAGGGTTACCAACATCACAAAAGATGAGACTGTAAAGACGACCTATAACTTTTAAAGGTTTAAGTAAGTCATCTGTCTTAGATATATAGTCTTTGAATAGCTTATAAAAAGATTTGTCAAAGAAAAAACAAGCTTAGAACTGCAGGGAATCATGATCATAGGAAAAAAGGCAGAAAAATTCCGTACAGTCGTCTTTGAAGTCTCATCCTTTGTGGGTAACCCTGTACAATGGTGCAGTGTAATTTGTATCACAATCCCTTTATGTTTAAATCTGGCTAGTATACAATACCATTAGGTGTATTCGTATGTTATATAGAATTTCGTTTAATGCCTAAATCTGGTCGATATTCATATCATCGCTTTCTGTCAGTCTCCATGCTCTTTATGTTAAATTTGTAAACAATCCCTTTGCTTCTAAAGGAATTGAGTTTTTGTCACAAACTCAAATTTTCTAATCCCTGTATCTTTTCAGCCTTGTAAACCTTTGATATAAGAAAATCAGAGTTTGTGGCAAAACTCAATTCCTTGATACCATATAAGATCCGAAAAAATCTAAATCAAAACCCTTTTATATCAATTCGGGTTGTTAAACAGTCCCTTTAAGTTCTATGGCAAGTCCCTGTAAGTGTAAAAACAATTCGACTTGAATTCCTTTATGTCTAAATCTGGTATGTTTTTGCACACACTCTGTTAGAAACTGAGAAATCAGGAAAATTGCTAAATGCAATTTACTGTTCAGGGGTGAATACAATCCTACATTTTTTATAACTAAAAATTCCTTGAAAATTCCTTAACGTCAACTTTTTCCTTTTGCATTTTTAAAAGTACACACTCCCCCTCCCCCTAAGCTCAGCGACCCCCCCCCCTTTCCTGTCCACCCTTTTCCTCCGATAGACCTAAGCCCTGGGGCATCTCCAGATGCTGCATATTGCCCTAGGTTTAATAAACGTTTCCATTCTTTCCTGAAGTTAAAATTATAACCATGGGTATTCAAGGAATTATTTCAGACCCTTTTGTATCAAAATCCATGACAAAAATAATGTTTTACACATATTGTGAGAGTACATGATAATATAGAAAATTATTCGTGGATTAAATTTGTTATCGCCATTTATCTCATAAAAATGTGCAGTGTGGCACTGTGCAGTGTGGCACTGTGCAGTGTGCATCAGTCAATCAGAGTTTGAGACGTAGTTTAATTTAGATCTTGACTTTTCTTTTGATAGGTTGAAAATAGATTTAGAAATTCAGCAATTTCTGACCAGTTCTCCAGTCAAATATTGAATACGACTAAACCAAAAACTTGAGTAACTATGTTAAAGAAAAACAAATTTACCAATGATCTTTGGTATATTAAAAGGTGTTAGGTACTTTCCCAAAGGCATTTTTCCAAGGGCGACTTCGCAAGTGACAATTTCCAAAGTGGCAATTTCCCAAATGTTGTGCAATTTCCCAAGTTGCACCTTCCCAAAGGTTAGGTTAGGTCCTCTGAGGCGCCGCAGGCTGCAATGGGGGCCGAGAGCTGCGGCTAAGATGGGCTAGGGGACCGAGCGCCGTGGCTAGGACAGGTTGAGTGTCGAGCGCTGCGGCTAAGACAGACTTGCGATGTTGCCGCTTGGGAAATTGCACATTTGGGAAGTTGCCAATGGGGAAAATGCACTTGGGAAAAAATTTTTTGGGAATATATCTAACATCTCTTCAAAACCATTAGGATGAAAACAAAAGTAGAACCCATTAATGTCACCTTATATTCACTCTTTATTTTTAAATAATCTATACCTTAAACTAATAAAACGGTATTCTAAGAAACACGTTTATACAATTTCATCATTAATTAACATTTTTCATGTCGGATGCTAATTATTTCAATTCTTAACATTTTCTTATTTTGTATACTCAAACGACAAACTCTCAATTTATTGCTTGAAACTCTTTACAATTGCAGCAATATTTTGTATTGAAAATAAAGATAGAAAACCCATGTGAAAAAGAAAACTGAAATTTGTGCAGTGCACTTAATTTGCTTGGATATTGCAACAGTGTGAATGACAGGCAGTTTCAAACTAATGGAAACCATGACAGCATTGATTTAAAAATTGTTAACAGCAGTTGTCCCAACAGCTAGATAGAATTATGTCCCTGGAAATTTAAAGGGTGTCCCAAAAGAAAGGTGTCCCAATGATTTAAAAGACACATACGCGAAATCATTCATGCTGGAGCTAAATTTTTTGGTTTTGACGTTAACTTTTAAATTTAAAAATAAGTATTTACGAGAGAGTCACACAAGCGATAATATAGAAATGATTTATATAGCTTAGTCCGACAAATTGAACGTCTTTGTCCGACAAATTGAATTTAAATAGCTCTGTCCGAAAAATTGAACGGCTTTGTCCGACAAATTGAATTTAGATAGCTCTGTCCGACAAATTGAATTTAAATAGCTTTTTCCGACAAATTGAATTTAAATAGCTCTGTCCGACAAATTGAATTTAAATAGCTCTGTCCGACAAATCCAATTTAAATAGCTTTGTCCGACAAATTGAATTTAAATAGCTTTTTCCGACAAATTGAATTTAAATAGCTCTGTTCGAAAATTGAACGGTTTGTCCGACAAATTGAATTTAAATAGCTTTTTCCGACAAATTGAATTTAAATAGCTCTGTCCGACAAATTCAATTTAGATAGCTTTGTCCGACAAATTGAATTTAAATTGCTTTTTCCGACAAATTCAATTTAAATAGCTCTGTTCGACAAATTCAATTTATAATAATAATAATAATAATAATAATAATAATAATAATAATAATTCTAATAATGACCTGTAGTACAAGAACTAATTCTTCTGCATCTCTCTCCTCCAGAAGTAAAATAATACTCTAAATAAAAAATTATATTTCTAATGATTTCTTTTCCAACAACTTGGTAGATCTAATTACCAGAGTATTAAAGGGATTGTTTCCCTCAAAGATACTGTAACCGTAATTTTAAGTGACCCTTAACGCAATGATGACATTGCCCATTCACAGCGATACATTAAAAGCTTGGTCTGATCAAGTATGAGTTAGATATCAATGTTTGTAACTAATAAAACTAATTATTTTTATTTAAGATTTCTCAACAAAAGTGATTTGCAAATTTCTACTGCGGGAAAATATATAAGAACTATCAGAAATAAACACGTGTTTCAAGTAAACCGTTGGGAATAGGGCATTGTCATCTTTGTAATTGCGCTTTTAGTCCCTTTAATGCATTTAGTCCCTTTAATGCATTTAGTCCCTTTAATGCATGCTCCCTTTTTAGATAAAGAAATACAACGAATATAATCATTTTTATTGATTTTAATTGTCTACAGTAAGTTTAATAAAGCAGTCAAGCAATCTTATTGGTTAAAGTGACTGGTCAGATTACCTGACTTCTCTTATTGATCCTATTGTCTGACCTCATATTGATCATATTTTCTGACCTCCTATTGGTCATTTTGTCTGACCTCCTATTGGTCATATTGTCTGACCTCTTATTGGTCATATTGTCTGACCTCATATTGGTCAAAAGGAACTGAGTTCTTGCCACAAATTATAATATTTAAATCCCTGGTATCTTTGCATCCAGATGGTGTAAACCTTGATATTTCAAATTTAGACTATTTAATCTTACAGATTTCATAGTTTGAAAAGTAAAGGTCTACAACATCGGATTTCTAAGATATAGGAATTAGAAAATCGAAGATTGTTGCAATAACTCAGTTCCTTTGCATTTCAATGAAAATACAAATATAAATCTACAAATTATATAAATAATGATAATACTAATATTAACCTCTTTATCTGGATCTTTAAGATGAAGGTTGACCCTGCGTGTGACCTCGTCCTCCTTAGTGACCTCAACGTGGTGAAGTTCTTCAATATCACACAGGTTCATTGGCTGGAAGTAAACAGCCAATATATAGATTTTTTAAAGAATAGAAGTTTCGTTTTGCCTCAATGGTTTTATTCGGTTTTCGGATTTAGCTCTCAAATAAACATAGTGGTAACCCGTAGACCAGTAATAATAAAATAAATATAGTCTTTACCACAAACTTGTATTTTCTCATCCATATATTTTTGCAACCGAATGGTTTTTAATATTTGAAACTTGGATTATTTGATCTAATAGAATTCATAGTTTAAAATTTCAAAGTTCTACGGCATTGGTTTGCATTAATATAATTAGAAAAATCTGGAAATTGTAGCAAAGCCTCATTTTCTGTGTTGTGAATTTTGAATTTGTGATTGTAATAACTGATATATTTCTGAATGTGTTCTGGACACGGTTTTAGTAATTTAAACAATGTTAAAAATATACAAAAAAAGCACAGCTACGTCCCACGAAACATGACAGTATGCAAGACGACTTGAATATCGTCTTGATTTTTGATATAATTTGCTGCATTTATTTGTCAACCTTATTTTAGAAGTAAATTTCTAGAGATAAAAATCACAAAATTCCCCTAGTCCTGCCATTTCCAAAATGTGGTCTGCAATTTGTGTGCTTTCAATATTGCCCAAGATATGAACAATTTCGTTCAGATTTCGACAATTTTGCTTTTGTTTAATAAAATTGAAATCTCAACCAAACTCTTTATATCTCCGGTAATATTGAAAGCACAAAAAACGCAGACCACATTTTGGAAATGTCAGGGCTAGGAGAATTATGTGATAATTGTTTCAAGAATCATACATGTTAAAGTAGATGGAGGACTAAATGTCACAAATAAATTCATATATCAAAGACGACTTTCAAGTCGTCTTGCTATTGTCATGTTTCGTGGGACACCCTGTATGTACTGATTTTTCTTCTGTTACGGTTGATTATGAATTTGTATCTTCAAGATTTTTCACTTTTAAATGTAATGTTTTAACATATGAGAAAGTAAAGTCTTCCAATTTAAAATTCTACAGGCAACGCTAGTACTTAATAAATAGTTTTTTCTTCTATTTCAGACCTATAACTAACTACGTACACAACAGTACACAATAGTATACACAATGGCTACACCTTGGATATGAACTAAATTGTTAAAAATTATAAATTATAAATAGACACTAAAATATATCTTAAATACGATTGACTAAAAATCTCAACACTTGCCTCAAACTCTAATTATGGATTACTTTTCATACTAGTTTTGATTTTATTTTTAAAAATAATATTTAGCTTCCAACTTGCTTTCGAACATTCCTGGAAAATATGAAAATGTCGTCTTCATTACCAAAAATCCTCGAAACAGGAATAAATATTTTTATAATTAACTCTCAGACCATAACCATTAAAACATATTATGAAAAATGAACTATATACAAATGTGGCGAAAGATAATCGATGACCATAGGGTGTAATATCTGAATGATTTGTTTGAAATTAAATAGATTTTTTTACGGTCTAAGTCGTATGTTGCATCTTTCTGAATTTGTATGGATAGTGCGTTCTTCGGTATTAGTCGTTTTTAACAATTTTCTCCTTATAGACGCGATCAAAAGCGCTTTTTTATCGCATTAAGCCTATACCCCCTTTCATTTTTCGCGAACACTCCCTTTAAGATCTACAAATACTACATAGCTTAAAACTACTTCAATTAACTAAACTATCCTAAGCTTAACCTGCTTCTTGTTATAGATGAAAACATTAGAAAAAAATCCTAGCTTTATTCGAACAAAAGTTTCCGAGGTCTAAATGATTGGTAAAGTTTATGGTTGAAGTACAACTAAGGTGTCAAGCGTAAAAGAAAAATTGTTTCGCAAAAAGTCCGTATTTTTGCGCTAAAATATTTAGTTTCGTCGCGATTTCTGGACTTTTACGCATCCTTTCGTGAAAAAAATGCGCGCAATTTTTAGAGAAAATTTGTTCCCGCTTTTCGATTAATATTCGATTAATGTAAAAAGAAACTTTAAATTTAACAGTATAGTATTGCAAAAACATTTGATTTTATTTAAGTTTAATGAAGTAGAAAAGTCGATTCGAAATAAAATGAAATTTTTTTTGAGGGCATTTTTTAATGGGGCATGGTGACTGAAAAATACTTGAACTGAAAATTACAAAGAAAAAGTTTTGTAATAATAATTAAAAAGAATATCACATTTTATGTAAGAATGAGTAGAAAAAAATCAGAATAAAATCTTACCACTGTATTCCTCATACTGTCTATTTGACTGACACCAAACTTTTGACTGACCAGGATTACCGTTTCATTGCTAGAATCCTAAACATAAAGAATGTAGTCAAAAAAAATGTTGGAATTTTTTGTTGTTCTTTTTTGATAAATGTATTTTAACAAAAACTTTTAAATCATTTAAAACTTTGTTAAAGACACTTTTTTGAGAAAAACTAGAGTAGGTCAAATTTATGAAACCTTATTAGTACGACTTTGTGACCTCGTAGCTCCTCTAGTTTTGATTTTAAGAGAATATTCAATTATCTACAAAGAATGAGACTTCATAGACGACTGAACACAATTTATAATGTCTATTTCCTTAACTTTATAATTCTGTAAACTAGGGCTGGGCATGTTCCAACTTTTTCAAGCTGTTTCGTTAACGGTTAGTTCCAACCGTTTTTAGTTAACAATATCAATTTTATTAACGGCGTTAACGGAAAATTTTCTACAACCATTGACAGCTCATGCCATTAACGGTAGCGTTTAACGGCGAAAATGGCGGGTAGCGCTGAAAATTTTATAAACGGTTAATTGCAGTATTAAATTAAACAAAAATTTCTTTAACGGTTTATGAAATTGTTAACGGTTGTGAACACAAAAGACGGCATTTGATAACATCAAAACACGATTCAAAATTTTCTTTTTTACAAATGTCGTGCAATTTTGAGCAAAAAAAATTCCACATTTTAAAAAAATCGTTTCGTTGTAATTTTCAACCATTATTTTTTTTTTTTAAATTAATCTAATCTTTGAAACGTCAAATTTATAAGTTTCAGGTCGTCTTTACAGTCTCAGTCTTTGTGGGTAGAATCTGTATCAAAAATTCTGTTTTTTGTTATTTTCAATGACTCTACGTAATAGAGGAGCTATATTATTTAATACATGTAGGATTCTAATCTTACTTCAGTTTTACGTGGATTGAAAATATTATAGAAAATGATTAATTTCTTACGCTCATGGTTGTTGAGAAGCACTTAGCTCCGTAGCTTGGTAGCTCAGAAATGATCTTTAGATAATGCAGTTTCGCCTAAACATTCAAATATTAATTACTATTAATTACTTGAAAAATGTCGTCTTCTTTGAAAAAGATAATCATTGAAAAAATGTTACTCCCTACATATTCTCTGAATGACTTCCATGATATAAAGATAGAAATATTTTTAAAATAAGATTTTTAAAAATGTATAAAAACTATGTTTTTCTACCAGAATTTTGATTTAAAAAAGGTCTAGAGTACTGAAAACTGTGTTTAATGACGGAAATATTTTGAAAAAAATTTAGCCAAAAAAACCTAAATTTTAGCGGCAGTATAAAAGACGACAATTATTTCCCTGTTTTCTGGAAACTAGTTACTACTACTGTACGATATATGGTTGCAAAGATATAATTGAATCAGAAAATTAAAGGACGAGACAAAAGATCAATTGTTTTACCAACCTGAAGTCCAGTTAACGACTTTTGTCCATTTGCTACAAGATTCTGGTTCAGCTTTAGGAAATGTCCTAACAGTTTCCGTAATTCCTAAACAATACTTATATTAGGAAATGTCCTAACAGTTTCTGTAATTCCTAAACACATACTTATATTAGGAATGGTCTTAACAGTTTCCGTAATTCCTAAACACATACTTATATTAGGAAATGTCCTATCAGTTTCCGTAGTTCCTAAACACATACTTATATTAGGAAATGTCCTAACAGTTTCCGTAATTCCTAAACACATACTAATATTAAGAAATGTCCAAACAGTTTCCGTAATTCCTAAACACATATTTATATTAGGAAATGTCCTAACAGTTTCCGTAGTTCCTAACCAAATACATATTTTAGGAAATGTCCTAACACTTTCAGTAATTCCTAAAAAATACGTATTTTAGGAAAAAACTTGATTTTTCTACTAAACTAAATTTCCTTTTAAAGAGGCCAAAAACATTGGAAACAATTTACAGAATTTTTATTATTGAACTAGTCCACTGGAAACTATTCCACTAGAAACTATTTCCACTGGAAACTATTCCACTGAAAACTATTCCCCTTGAAACTATTCCACTGGGAACTATTCCACTGGCAACTATTTGCACTGGAAACTATTCCACTAGAATATATTCTACTGGCAACTAAGTAGCTGTAAGACCAAGTTTTTAGTTTAAATCGTGAATTAAAGTTTGTAGAGATTAGATCCACAGATTAAAGGAAACATTTAATTTCCAGAAGTAAAACAGTCAAAAAGAACAATAGATGTTTCCAAAAATTATTAAAGAAATAAGTTCAAGAAAATCCGCAAAATAGTAAAATAAACTCCGTTACATCTGTACCTACCTTCTTTTTTATGGAATCTACCAAACTGATCGGGATAAATCTTTCCAATCCACACTCCTTCTCAACCCCTTTTACTGTCACCTAAAAGATGGAAAAATAATGTTTTTATGATTTTCAACGAGACACTATTTGAAAAAAAATCTGATTTAGAACGGTACCATTTGAATTACAATGATGAAGAGATGGTTGGTAAAAAAAGAACAAATTTTAATGAGAAACCGCGGGCATTTATCCAAATTTAAAATAAGTATCGATGTAAAACCACATATGAGAGACCATTTAAACAATAAAAGGCAAGAAAATTCAATTCAAAAGATGTAAAATTTTGTTATTTCAGGAATTATAAACTTAATATTTGAGAATTAAAGATCAAATTGAAAAAGATAAAAAAGATATCATTTTGTTCAACACACATCTGGAATCACAGCTGTTGAACTCTACAACTGCTGGTGACAGAAACTTTGATAAACTACTTGAGAAATGGAAACAAAAATATGTATTAATGTAATTTAAAGATTATAGAGCGTCATATTGGACTATCTCCAAGCTTTCACGCCAAAATACGCACATAATACTCGAAAAACCTAGTATTTTCAGCATACATATGTTTATGTTATTAGCAATATATAATTTTTAAACTGACTCTTTTTCTATAACACGATACAATATGATGTGGGATCCACCCTGTAGATTTTCAAAACTTTAAACTTTAAACTTTTATCCAAGTGGTTTGGTTTATTCCTTATTTTCTTTACGGTACATTTCGTTAGATCATTTTCAAATTTCATTTCAATTAATTTAAAAAATGTTGCGTTACAGTTTTATTTCAAGATTTTTAAAATAGATTAAACAAATCAGTAATCAAGAAACATGAACGAAATGCAGTCGGACCCTTAGGTGGAATCTAAAGACGACATTTTATCCATGAGTATTTGATGTTGTTGTAAAGCAAGCGATTTTACCAGAAGCTTTAAAGTGCAATGGAAAACTATTATTACTTGAGTATTTCACCTTTTCTAAGGTTTTATGGGTATTTAGTATTTACTGTATATTAGTTATAACTGAACTTCATCAAGGTTTGGGTTTCTGAACCTTGAAGACATTATATTTAGGGTTTTAATTAAATAATTATATGGAGCTCTTTAGAACTGTTCCCGCATATTTCATGGCTATTTAACTATGTTTATAATTACTGAGATTTGGGTATAATTGTAAAAACCCATTGAAAAATTGTCAACACGACATTTTATAAATTCTTTTGATGTTTCCGAAGTTCTGGGTTAGACTGTATATTTTTACCTTATTTCCTGAAGCTAGTCCTGAAGCTACGGCGTGCTGATACAGATGAAGGGCGGCCAGGCGCAGCGCTACTTCGTATTTTAATTCTGGGGCAAACCGTTCTTGAACAACATCGTTGCAGCACTAGATCAATCAACGTTAGCATTTTTACGAGAATAAAACTTTTTTGATAATCCACGTTCAAAGTACAATTTGTACAATAAGTTATTTAGACACTCTGAAAACTGAGATGTGGACAAGGTTATAATGCAAGGAAAGTTATTTCAGAGGTGTATGAATCTTTTGTACTGCAGTGTACTGTCTCTGGGATGTAATGTAAACACAAGACGGATGTCACAGCCTGACATGGGATCCATCTTTTACATAAAAAATCAATGAAACATTCTGGCCATAGGAAACTATTATGTGAATTATCAAAATTTTTCAAATGCAATGCTTTTATCCTCCTCGGATACTAAACGAACACTGATGCACCCATTCTTGTTTACAAATTTCGCCCTGAGAGAACTGGTTATAATATTTACGCACTACGCAATTAACTTTCCTTGCATTATAACCTTGGATGTGGATATCTTCTTTGTTTTTATTTTACTTAACACATCACTCACTGTTCTCACTGTATACATCCATGTACCTGTACAAAAAGGTATTCCAGGGCAACCGAATCTTTACGCAGAAGTTCGTACGCATCTTTGGGAACAAATGTTACGCGGAACAGACAGCGTAAATTATGAGCTCCAGGACGGGAGGCGATCTAAAAAAATATTTTGTCAAAGCAATTTTTAAACCCTGGTGGTTTACCGTGTACACCTTTGGTATTTCAAACTTTGATTATTTGATCTAATTCTTAATATCTAAGGTTTTAAATACATTGGTTTGCAAAGAAATAAGAATTAGAAAATTTGAATTTGCGACAAAGCCTCATTTAAGTCTGAAAAAAAATTGATACAAAAAATTAACAGTTTCATTATAAACATATATAGGCCGAAAAAATATTAGGGATTAGAAAATTTGAGTTTGTGGCAAAGACTCAATTTTTTTGGGACTTTACCCAACAACTATTTTACTAGACCAACAACAGCTAGATATTTAAACTATCTAAATGCTATATATTCCATTTAAGTATCGTTTTATTGGTTTTTGGTGACAAAGGAGTAAGTTTAAACAAAATTTGTAAACCATATGGTAAATTTGTAAACCATATGGTAAATTTGTAAACCATATGGTAAATTTGTAAACCATATGGTAAATTTGTAAACCATCCATATGGTAAATTTGTAAACCATATGGTAAATTTGTAAACCATATGGTAAATTTGTAAACCATATGGTAAATTTGTAAACCATATGGTAAATTTTGTTGGAAAACTTTTTCTAGTTTTTCTAAAAAGTTTTGAATTTTGGGCTTCGAGGGGGACAGATGATTATGGTTTAAAAATACTGTTTTGTTAGATTTTCAATTATGTTCCTACTCTTTTTATTTTATTAAATATCTCATTTAGATGAAAAGGATTTTAACAAATCATTTAAAATTATATTTATTAAAACAAAGTTCTGTTGAAAGATTGAACATCTCCACATAGATAAAATGTTTCAGATTAGACGGTTTCTAACCAAAATGACTTGGTTTTGCATATTCTAAATCTGTGCCAAAAACCGCAGAGTCTTGTAAGCCGAGAGTTTATATATATTTGGTGGTATATTACCCGGAAACGGAAATGGTAGGATGGAGAACCATCAAACATCGTTACTTCCGGTTAGATGAGTTTAGCAGATTAGAACCATGATCTTTACAAGACTTTATTATTTAGATCCTTTAAAAAATGAAATACTAAAGCCCGATTGAGGCAACCCACCCCGGTCTAACCAGAGTGAGAGGAGTTCGGTTGTTTCTATTTAAAGTCATATGCGTTTTGGTTTATAATTTAACAATGTATAAAGTTACGGATTTGTTTGTTTAATACTTTTCATTCAAAAAGTATATGTCGGCAAAAAATTATATCAGAAAAAGGCAAAAAAGTTATGTTTAATAGGTCAAATTGTGATTGAAAGTCACAGCTTTTTGGAATATTGACGGAACCTTTAAATCCACGTGAACCCAAATATATTTCGTCCTAATTGGTCCATTATCAGGTTTTCCCTTAAAAATTTCACATCATAAATATTATTTATTTTTTAAATTTTGATCTGCAACGATTCTGCGAAAGGAATTGAGTCTTTGCCACAAACTCAAATTTTCTAATAGCTATAAATGTATCTATGCCATTTGGTTGCAGAGATATAAGGATTAGCATATCATAGTGTGTGGCAAAGACTCTATTCCTGTTCTATTATTGTTTTATATTACAAGACAGTATATATTACTAACGTAACAATGTTGATTAATTCTAGAAAAGAGGCGCGAAACACCCTGACTTGAGGCTGTTAATAGAAAGGCATAGCACAGTAGGGGGGCAGACGATAAGAAAGATGTTTTCCAAAAACCAGAAAGTAATAAAGAAGTATAAGATAGGGAAGGAAGTATAAAGACCAATAAAATGTGAAGAAATGAAAGTCACTGTCTAAGAAAATATACATTAGGAGGAACCCATGCATAGATTTGTGTACTTCAGTTCCTGTCATTAAAATAAACAAAACTAAACTTAAGCACTTTTTTTCATTCATAAACTGCATTACAGTTTTGTAAACAAATATTTGTAGTGTTCACCAGCAGTATATTGAAGAACTGGATAGTCAAAGGCTTTCTTAAGGTCTAAATGTAATATTTGCTTGTACGGTAACATAAAATACAGTATATAGAATATACACATTAAAACAAAGTAAATTTTACGTCATTTTAGATTTTATAGATTTCCAACCATAGCTCATCTTATTTAAGAAATATTAAAAAGAACAAAAAGATTTTAATCTATAGCATTGAACAAAATAATTTTTATCTTCTCATTCACATAGGAAGACGACTTTTAGACTATAACAAGTTCAATGAGCTTGAGACAAAACAATGGAGTTCAAACCGACCCATTAGTTTTAATTAAGAATTTTAAAAATGTCAAGCAAAAATTTGTATTGTGAAACAGCATCAAATAGACATAAGTATTGCTATAATTCCTTGTTTTCTTGTTATCACTGTATGTACGTATAGTTAACTTTGATTACATAAAAATCTTTTCATTTTCTCCATAATATGATCATTAGTTCATAAAAATTATCAGTACTTTCCTTATCATTAGTTTTTAATATTTTTTACTAATTTTCTTCTCTTTCTTTTCTTTTCGTGCAATTTCCCAATCTATATATAAATTTGGCTTGTCTGTTTGCTTGTTTGTATCCAATAAACGTCAAAACAGCTGAACCGATCGTATCCATTATGTGGGACCTCACGTGGCCCCAGGGAAGGTTTATGAATGATCAAAATTTACAATTTTGTGCTTGAAAGTTTATTTTTTATTTTTTTTTATTTTGAAAATGCGCGAAAAAGCTTATGAAATCCGCAAACTTTTTTTTTTATACTGTACAAAGAGCATATGCTCACAGATAAAGCCACAATTAAAAGTTAAAACAGAAGATGGGCGCGAAGTGCCCTAAAAGCCTAGTTTTGTTATATTTTCTTTAATTCCGTGAATTATATTGAATGTTTCGAAGTGAAGAAAATAACTTTGATAGTTTCCAATTCCTTTCTCACTTTTTCAGGATTTTACTTCATAATTCTTCCCAGCAAATACCAACTAAAGCAATAAAAATATAGTGTCGCATTTCCCCACCCCTATACAAACCAACTTAAGATCAATTTGCTTGTTTTGAAGCCGTATCTGTTCACTATCTAATGATCAACTGCATTTAATATTTGGACCATATTAGATTAATCCTTTCCAAGAGATTTAGTAAAGAATAAAGAAGGATATGCAAAAAAGAAGGAAAAGGGCATTAAAAACGAAAATAAGTTTTAAATTTTCTACACAGTTTTATTTACACTCTTGATGTATTTTTATTTTTCTAAACTCAAATTTGCAAAGATTAGAAAGTTTAGAAAATCAGAGTTTTGAAAAAACACTTGCTCCTTTCATTTTGTTCAACAATAAGAAAGTTCTGACCTTTGAAAGCGTATCTCTGGGATTCAAGAGGGTCAACTTGTTCCTCTTTAAACTCTTCACGTGCTCCACAACAAGGGAGAAGATTCCCATAGCGGTCAACCCAAGCTTAGCTTGAAGAGAATCAAGAACATCCTAATCATCATCATTTTTAAATCAAGGTTGAGAAATTCCTGAAAGAACTGGTAAAAATCAGCTATGTCAGTTTGAAGCAATCAATTTTTTTAATTATTTTCAAGACATCAGCTGTTTAACTATTTTGAAGGAATCAGCTGCTTAACTAAATTATGGATGAACCAGCTGTTTAACCATTATAGAAGAATCAGCTGTTTAACTATCGTGGAGGAATTAGTTGTTTAACTGTTGTTGACGAATCAGCTATTTAAATATTAGCCAGCTGTTTAACTATTGTGGCAGGCGATAATAACAATTTAAAGAAGACGACTTTTTACTTTACATACTTTTTTCGAATTACAAATTTACAAGTAATTAAAGAGATGCTTTTTTAATTGACAGCTTCTCTCTTGTTTCCATGTTTTTGTGAATCCATGTTGTTTAAAAGCTTGATATAAATTAAAATTGAAATCGAAATTCGTCTTCATTATATTGATATTTTCGCCTACCACCGTATTGTAGAAGAATTGGATGTTTAAATATAGTAGAGGAATCGGTGCTTAATTATTATTGAGGAATCAGCTGTTTAACTATTGTAGACGAATCAGCTGTTTAACTATTGTAGACGAATCAGCTGTTTAATTATTGTAGAAGAATCAGCTGTTTACCTGAACAGTAGTAGAAGAATCATATTTGAAAGATTTAGTTTGCCCGTTTTCCAAAAACACCTAAAAAAATAGATATGAAAAAATCATTTTCTTTCTTAATTTTTTAATTTTTATAAAGTTTACCTTTAGAACGTTAGGCATAAGAGGAACCACGCTATCAGATGATGTAAGTGCACTGTGACTGGTTGGCTAAAATATGTATACAGTGAGAAACACAAAACTGTGCAATAGGAAAACGACACCAAAGCAATAATTCATTTAATAAATGTGTTATTAAACAAATAGTTTTACTAATAACTTATAAAACTACTTTTTAAGTGAAATGGGACTGTTTACACTGCACAATTACTGTGTCTAATATTTTATTGTACTATAATTTAAAGTAACAACTTGAGTCTAAATGTCGCCTTTCTATTCCAGAGTTTTCTGGTTCTAATACAAAAAATGCATGTTTCATCCTATAATGTTTCTAATCTTATAAATGTCTTATATATGTAAAATATTCCATCAACATCAAATAAGATATACATTTTGTTTGAAAAGATCTTTTTATTGTATTCTTATTTCCTATCGAAAGTTTGAATGTTGATGTTTTCAATTTATCGTGCTTAAAATCCCATAACGAAATAATGGTGCCTGCAGTAGAAGATACATATAATGTAATATACATATGGCTATGGAGGAATATTTTTAGATTCAATTCATTTTTGAAATGTCTAAGATAATGAAAAATCTTACATTGAAGAGCGGTGAGCCGTTGATATCCACACTTTCAGCAAACCTAACTCTACTTGGATTTGATTTCAGTTTTGCCTTCTTAGCAGCAGACAGAAGGGCAGATTTTCGACTAGAACTCTAAAAGAAATAGCGATATATCAAAAATCCCCCAAAATTCATAATCTTATTTTGTAAATATTCCTCATAAATAATAGTTAAAGAACTGATTGTTACTTTTTGTTACATTTAGACTCATGAAAAGTTTGACGGCTTCATAAAAAGTCTGGTCTTTTGCCAAAGTTTATGAGCTAAGAGCGTGCCAAGTAATTTTCACCAAACATGGTTTCTCTCTCAGAAAAAGAAATCCCAACCTAATTGAAGAGAATAAAGTTAGAAACAATTCCTTTGTGTGGCAGGAAACAAGACGACAAGTCAAATTGATTCATTAATTTACTCACATTATCGAGGGGTGGTTGGCAGACGACCAGTGAGACTGTTTCCCGGCAATTACGCACTAGTTGTATCACGTGATCACGTGGCGCCCTGAATGCAGAAGCCATGTTTAAATCGTCAGCAGTAAAGATTATAATTATACAGCTTATACAAATGTTTAAACTCAACTCTGAATCTAATTGTAAAATTATTTTGTGGGGAAAACATTAAAAATGTGTCTAATGTGATTAAAACTAGGGGAAAGACAAATTAATTTTTAACTGATCTACATTTTGTCTCATAGTTTGAAAAACAGTTCGGTGCCTTCCCTCTTTTATTTTACATATTTAAGCAATGAATTTAAGACTAAAAGGCATAAATGTTTATTAGGAAAAAATGTTCAATTCATGTTTTTGAAACACCCTGTATACTGCAAAAGAAAAGGAATATTCTGTAGCTTGAGGAAAACATTAAATATTTTTTTAGTTTAAGCGATGATTTATGTTTTGTCCTCGGTGCTTAGAATTCAGAAATTTACAACCATCTGGCTGGAATACAAAACAGAAAAAGTTAAATTTTTGACAAAATTCTTACAAGTTTTTATGGCAAAATGTGTTCAACCTACAAAACTACTTAAAAAGGCATATAAAACAAGACCTTCAAAACCGTGGAATAGACCAAATTCAAGCTATCTTTTAAGTAAATTTTATTTTGTGTGAATAAGTACTTTTATGCAGTACACTGGTCCCGGAAATCAACTTAGTAGGTAAAATGGGTTTGTGTACTGTTCATTGGACTTTTCAAAATCATAATAGTATTCTATCGTCTTCCTATTCCATAGTTTTATGTGTCTCACTAATATATTCAGAACTAGATGTAAATACAATTAAGGTACTATCTTTAAAATAAATATGACGTGTTTGTTTGTGTCAAATAAATGGCTAAGCCGATTCGGCCCCCAATGTTTTGGTGGCAAATTCACACGATCCCAGGAAAGGTTTATATTTTTTATATATTTTTTAGGTTTGAGTTTTATAATTGCGAAGAAAAAATGTCCGCTTTAAACGCAACTTTCAAACGTTTTAACTGTTGGTAGAAGACGAGGCCCTCAAATCTACTATTTTTCATTTTTCTAATATCCAATAGAGTGTAATATTTATAGATAAATGCTATAAAGAAAATGTAAGAAATAGATATTCCCTCTATTCTGTATTTCCCTTACTTTTGTAAACAATTCCCCAATACTTCATCCAGATTTTTGCAAAATTTGATATTATTCATATTTTCTAAAGAAATTGAGTCTTTGTCATAAACTCTGATTTTCCAATCCCTATATCTTTGCAACTAAATGTCATAGACCTTGGATATTTTAAACTATGAACATTGTTAGAGATAAAAAAAAGATCAAAAGTAACAGGTTGCAAAGATATAGGAATTAGAAAATTTGAGTTTGCGGCAAAGATTCAATCCCTCGATCGAAGGGACTGTCCCTTGAAGGGACTGTCCGCGTAACTTTAAGAATGTCGAAAGGATTCACAAAGATACTTCAAATAGTTTAAGAAAAGTTTTAAATCTAAAAACTTTTGAATTTTGAATCTCAGGATCAAGCATTGATCTCCATCTTCTACAGATTAATCTAATTCCTTTTCGTCCTTTTATTTCAACCTTTGTTGAGGTTTCAAGCATTGATCCACAAATTCAAAAATGCCCACATTGGATATCGAGAATGAACGTTCAAGATTATCAAGTTACAAACAAAAAATGTCTGATTGGATAAAAAGTGAACCTGGCAACATCTTCTCCATTAATTGTTAATATTTGGTCTCCAGGCATCAATTTGTCCACACTAGGCCCTCCTCCAGTTACAAACCTAATCAAAAAATATATCATGTTGTTCTAATCTAACACATTTATTATATTACAAGCTTTGGAACCCAACGTTGTTCACATTACTCGCGTCGTTTACCCGCACTTAGTCGTAAATTACGATTTTAGCTTTTTTTTACTCAACTTAAAATCTTAAAACATTCCCATGGTTCTCCCGAGTTCCCCAATCAAAATTTGAGACAAATGGTCAGGGTGTTCCTGAGTTATGATCTGACAAACTAAATAGAAAGACAAACATAGATTACAGCTTTATATGTATATATAGATATTTTGAGCATGCATCACTATTTTAAATATCTTACTCATCGTAGCATGCACCAGTCAGATTAGAGTGTGTACATTCTCACCAGTGCTTAACAATTCGATCCGGCTCTACTCTGCGATTGCTTAGCACTACTAAAAATGCACACACTCGCCTCTGACTTGTGCTATGATAAGTAGGTAAACTTAAAGCAGTGCAAATCGGCTAAATTATATGTAGATTAGTGTAAGTGGATAAGCCTGCACATAAAAGATACGGAAAGTTTGATGTGCATGATCACAGTAGCTGAAAGATTGATGTGCACAAACTACCCCAATAGCTGAAAGATTGATGTGCACGGACAACCCCAATAGCTGAAAGACTGATGTGCACGGGCAACCCAAATACTGAAAGATTGATGTGCATAGACAACCCCAATAGCTGATGGATTGATGTGCACGCGGAAAACCCCAATTGCTGAAAGATTGATGTGCACAGACAACCCAATAGCTGATAGATTCATGTGCACAGACAACGCCAATAGCAGAAAAATTGATGTGCACGGATAACCCCAATAGCTGATAGATTGATGTGCACAGATAGCCATGAAAACTAAAGACTGATCGGCAAGGACATGGGCAACGCTGTGTATTTCTGCTAGCCTCCTTTACTTAGCTTAATTATTTTTTTATTTTTTATTTATTAGACTTTGAGTTCTGAATGATGCTAGATGAATAAATATCTTCAAAAGAATTATATTCATATATTTCTTGATGAAAGAACATGCTTGATATATTGTCGGCCATGAAACATTATTCATAAACAATATAAAGATTTGGTTCCGCCTCATATATTGACTTTCTAAGTTCTGCGTATATTGTTCTAGAGTGTCCGGCTATGTACCACGGTTTACTGTCTATGTACCACGGTTTACTGTCTATGTACAAGAGTGCTGTCTATGTACCAGAGTGCTGTCTATTCACCAGAGTGCTGTCTATGTACCAGAGTAATGTCTATGTAGCAGAGTGCTGTCAATGTACCAGAATGGTGTCTATGTAACAGAGTGCTGTCAATGTACAGGAGTGGTGTCTATGTACCAGAGTGCTGTCAATGTACAAAAGTGGTGTCTATGTACCAGAGTGCTGTCAATGTACACGAGTGGTGTCTATGTACCAGAGTGCTGTCTATGTACCAGAGTGGTGTCTATGTAACAGAGTGCTGTTTATGTACCAAAATGGTGTCTATGTACCAGAGTGCTGTCTATACACCGGCCCAAATTGTTTGTGGTACCTCACATGATCCCATGGAAGGTTTATGAATGATCAAATTTGCCTCCAACAAAATTCGATTTCCAATAAATTTTTAAAATCCAAGATATATGTTTATGAAATCCTCAACCTGTTTTTGTTTTTGTTTTACAATTTATACAAAGAAAAAAATGTTCACAATTGAAAAAGAAGATGTGTACGAATCGTCTTAAAAGCCTATTTATCAATATTCCTATTAAAAACTAAATATACAATAAAAATAAATCCGAAGTTTAAAAATGCACAAGCCGTGTCCCGTAAAATAATAAAAAGTTTCTATTTAAGGTTAGGCGTAGTATCAACTTCATCAAAGGAATGGATTGGCTTCCCACTTTCTTGGTGTGAAACTCTACCACAAAACTCAAATGCGAATCTAAGGCTAAAAAAACTTATCTTATTTTACAAAATATAGGTGATAAGTTTTTCTCCAGGAATATCGATACAATTCTATCTTTTTTTATTGATTCTTTTATATTGTTTTCAAACTTAATTATTGCTAGAAAGAAAAATGATGATGATATTCTTAAATGGTTAAAACAAAACTAGAACCAAGTTGCTTTACAGGAAAAAATAATATTATTTTTCGAAAGATTCGAAAAAAGATGTTTACTTGTATTCAGCTTTGAGTTAAACAAATTTATCAATCAACCCGGCTATCAGCATAAAAACCAGATTTATCAAACAGAAAAACCTTGTTTATCAGGCATAAAAATCAGTTTGTCAGCGATAAAAACCCAGTTTGTCAGCCTTAAAATCCGGGTTTTCTCCTAGAAACGATTTATCACCCAGATAAACCGTTTTTATTATGGTTGATACACCGGGGTTTTTCAGGTTGATAAACCATTAAAAACCGGTTTATCAGGCTGAAAAACCCGGTTTCTTAACCAGAAAACAAAACCCGGTTTATCTGTCTGACAAAACCTAACAAATATGTTTTTTTATAGAACTGTCATTGTAATTTCAAGTGACCCATCTTTTAAACCTTTGTCTGATCAATAATGTGGAAATCAAAGTCGTTCTTCCAGTTTGAAAAGTGATCTATTCTAACAATTTTCTTTTTTTGTGTAGAAACCGCAATTAAAATTAACAAACGAGTTGAGTTTTTGCCACAAAGTCTGATTTTCTAATCTCTACATCTTTGTAACCCAATGTCGTAGACCTTAGATATTTCAAACTATTGATACTTATAGATAAGATAATCTAAGATTGAAATATCAAAGGTTTGCATTAAAAGATTGCAAAGATATTGGAATCAGAAGATTTTAGTTTGTGGCAAAAACTCAATTCCTTTTATGGAAAATATGAGGAATATCCTGATCAGACGAAAATTTACAGGGTATCGTTGTTATTCGCACATGCCACTCGAAATTACGCCTAAAGATACTTTATTTATTCACCTGACTATAACAGGTTTCTCCGACCCAGCAACAAAACCAAACCCCAGCTCTGGGTGTCTCTCAAGAGTTACCTAATTAATTTAAGAGTAGTCAGCATTATAAACTTGAAATCCCCGCCCCCTGTCTTTATGTAGGTGTATTATTCCCTCAAGGATAATTCTCAAGAATACTTTAATCTCAAAATGCTTCAATCACAAAGGCACTCCACAAATTTCTGAAATATCGTAGTTATGTATATAAATATATGCAACATGTAATGTATCTTCATTAGCAATTTTTTGGATTACATGGAAGATTTGTGTTAGCTAAAAATAGCTAAATATATATAAACAACGAGATTAATGAAATGTGTTTGCACAAAATCATATTATAATAAAATAAACACCAAAGGAATTGAGTCTTTGTCGCAAACTCCGATTTTCTAATCCCTAAATATTTTGGAACCCAATGTTGTAGACCCTTGACATTTCAAAAAATTGATTTTGATATATCGAATAATTTAAGTTTGAAATATCAAAGGTTTTTCAAGATTAGGTTGCAAAGACATTGTGATGAGACTATTGGAATATGTTGCAAAGACTCAATTCCTTTATTTTTATCTCTTAGAACTCCACGATCCCTCTTTATTTTTTTTATCTTCTATTTGACATTTAACCTTTGACCTTTTTGACATTCTGACCTCTGACCTTTCATATTAAATCTAACCCGAGATTTTTGACCTTTGACCTTCGAATTCTGACCTCTACCTATAGTTTTACCTCTGAACTACAGTCTGACCTTAGACCTATGACCTCTGACCTATAGTTTTACCTCTGAACTTCAGTCTGACCTTAGACCTGACCTGTGACCTCTGACCTATGGTTTGACCTGTGGTGACCTCTGACCTACAGTCTGACTTTAGACCTGTGACCTCTGATCTCTAACCTACCTCTCTAGGTTCTGGTGTTTCTTCGGCCTCCACGCTGCCCCATTTCCGAGGATCCTCATATGTCGAGGTCTTGTTGATGTGACTAAATAAAATTCAATCAATCAATCTTCAATTTGATCGATCCCTCAATCATCAAAAAGTTAACAAATCAATGACCAATAAATTGATAAAAAAAATATGATTTTCTTTCAAGTAAATTATCACAATCAAAATGAAATCAAAATGAAATCAATAAAAAAACAATTAAAATGAAATCAATTAGAATTCAATTAATAAAAAAAATCAACCAATAAATCAATCAAACTATTTAACCATTGATTGATTAAAATATAAAAATTAAGAAATACATATTATCAAAAAACCAAAATAAAAAATAAATATCATAATTTAACATTTTTTTTTCCTCCTAGACTTTATGTTAAAAACGAATCTAGTTTTATGAATATTATATTTTGCTGCTCTTGAAGATATATAAGAAGGTCTCTGTTTCTTGTTTCATGAATATTCGATCTTAATATATTCCTATAATATGCTATCTACTAAAGGGAGAATGTGCCAACGGAGATTTTTTTCAAATATTTTGAAACCAAATTTTAAAAATAGAAAGAAACTGAGTTTTCACCACAAATTCAAATTTTTAATTCCTATTACTTTGCAGCTTGATGGTGTACATTTCTTTTTTAATTCTTCTGAAGAAGAAGTTGTATTGCAAAAAAAAATTCTCCTTTTCAAATTTTACGAAGATAAACAAAGAAAAGTTGTAAGTTTTCATAAATAAAATATATCTAGTTCATGTTTATTATCTGCAATAAATGTAATATGTTATCTTATCTACATTTACATATATCATATTACACACCTTTTCTCAAGTACATTGCTTCGAACATAATAATTTTAGACAACAAAAGACTTAAATTTTTCAAAAAAAAAATTATTTTAAGATTTCAATTAACTTCCAGTTTTAATATTGGCGAACGCCCCATTGTAATATTGGATCAATGTAGTATAATAAGTTGTTACTTCGTGTAAGAAATTGCAAATTGATTTTAAAATCAGCTTTTAGATTAATTTGTTTTCGAACACATTAACATTATCAAATTAATATATGCATTATAGGATTCTTTTAAGATTAAAAAAAGTAAAATGAATTTTTCAAAAGATAAAAAAAAATTTTAAAAATTTGAAGAAGAATATAACTTTGAAAAAGAATTTTATTTAATTCTCTAAAATTCAACATAATGCAAGATTGTACATTACACAGAGAAGACAAGAAATGATCAAAGGAATTGAGTCTTTGTCACAAACTCAGATTTTCTATTACCTATATCTTTGCAACCCAATGTCGTAGACCTTAGATATTTCAAACTATAAATTCTGTCAGATCAAATAGCCTAAGTATGAAATATCAAGGGTGTCCGCCATCAGGTTGCCAAGATAAACGGATTAAAAAATTTGAGTTTTTGGCAAAAATTCATTTCCTTTGTCACTAATAACCTGAATGAAAACAATCATCCTAGTTCGGATTTTTATTCAAGGCTAAACTTGTATTATTAACACAATATCATCTAATCTTTCTACTTAAAACTGGTATTTTATTCACATTTCAAACTTGCCAATCTTAAAATTTTCTCTTTCTTCTTTCAATGGCACACTTATACACAAGACAGAGACTGTATCTTTTTAATTAGAGAACACGGGTTTTTACCCCAAAAAATAAAAACATTCTTCTAAAAAATCAAACTTGGATTGAAAAATTAGCAAAACAATAAAGTTTGTGCTTCAAAAAAGTTAAACTAGCGAATGTATTAATTACTAGGCTGTCAGGGCACTTCTCCCCATCTTATATTTCAATTTAACATTTGCTTTGTAAAAATTGCATAAAACAAAAACAAACAAAAAAAGTTTTCGGATTTTAAAGACAAATTTCGTGGATTTTTCACAATTTTTAGAAAATCGAATTTTGTTGTATTTTGCGATAAAAATTTCAATTTTTGCAAATTTGCAAATTTTTTAGCAGATTCTAAAAGTAGAGCCAAGAGCTTTCCAATGATGTATCATTTATCATATTTAGACACCAAACATGGGATTTAGAGGGGGGTCAAATTGAAATCACTAGATTTCTGAAATGCTTCGTATTTTGTAAATAAACCCAGGCTTGTGTAATTCAAAAAATACTTTCTGTCAATATTAAATTCCATCTGTAGAAACCTGGTATTCACAACATTTGGTTTTGTTGTGTTTCACAATATTTTTTTATGTAAAGTTGTTAAATTGTAAAATTGCACAATGTGTACATTTTCTTAAAATAAGACTTGTTAGTGGTCTAAGGCTAAAAATGATTGTATATAAAAAGGTTGAATAGCAAGGTAAGATATTGTTTTGTTATGTTAGTTTACCCATTACAGTATAGATTATCATTATTTACAAATACAAAACAACATGAAACACTGGGATTAAGATAATAGATACATTTATCTATTACAGCTTCAATCATATTAGAAATAAATGACATAGAGCAAGGAACTATATCTATATATATACTTTGCTTGTCTGTTTGTCTTTCTCCCTGTCTGCAAATCCAATAAACGTCAAAACGGCTGAACCTATCGGACTCAAATTGTGTGTAGAACTCACATAGGTGTATGTATGATTAAGATTTCAAAATGTGCCTTCAACAAAATTAGATTTTCATCAAATTTGAAAATCAACTAAATTTTGTTCGTAAAATCCGCCAACATTTTTTGAGTATTGTTTAACAATGTTTACAAAAAAACCTAGTTTCTATATATTTCTTGACATAAAAGAACTGATTACTTGCGTCAAAATCAAATTTCTAATTATTCGTGTCTTGGCAACTTAATAACCTTTGACATTTAAAATTTTGACTATTTGATCAAACCAAATTTTTAACCTTGAAATAGCAAATTCAGAATTTAAAACTTTTGTATTTTGAATCTTAGGATTAAGCATTGATCTACAGTTTATGCAGACCTAGGAATTATTTTAATTTCACTTGATATCGCGATGGTCTAAAATGAAGGGATGAAGCATTGATTCTCAAAATTAAACGTGCCTACATTGCATATCAAGATTAAGAGTTCAAGATTAACGACATGACAAGTATAGAGTTTGGAGCAAGTTATCATTTCTTTTAAAAATTGATTTAATGATTAAACTTACTTGACATAATATGTTCTACCCTCTTTATCTACAGCAGCCTCCCAGCCAAATGGAACACCGGTCCCTCCGCCGTCCCAGGAGCTTTGAGGCGGAAGCCAGCCGGATGTACCAGTAACATGACTAAACAAAATGCTGTTTGCTTTCCAGTTCGGTTTTTTTCTTTCTTGTCTTTCTACGTTTTTTCTTTTTCATAAATATCAAGACGAAGTTGAATGTCGTAGACGTAGTTGAACTTGTGCACCGGTTCATGTCAAAGGGATGTAGTTTAACTAGATCTTTGCGATTCAATTTCTTCTGGCTTGGTCCCTGGTCTCTTACAGTCGTGTCTGTTGTTGTCGATCCTAATTTGTCTGATCTTTCTTGGTCTGGTCTTCTGACAAAGTATGGACTATATATTATTAGTCTACTGTTCAATTTTGTCTGGTCTGTCTAAAGTAATTATGGTTAGCGTTGTCTGGTTTTGCTAGTCGTAGTCTGATTTGGTTGGACACATATTCTGGTTTGGTGTTTTTAGTTTGATTAAGTTTGTTAAAGTCTGGCTTGGTTTGGTATAGCCTATTTTGGTTGGTGTAGTCTGGTTTGGTTTGGTATAACCTGGTTTGGTTGGTGTAGTCTGGTTTGGTTTGGTGTAGTCTGGTTTGGTTTGGTGTAGTCTGGTTTGGTTTGGTGTAGTCTGGCTTGGTTTGGTGCAGTCTTACTAGGTTTAGTGTAGTCTGGCTTGGTTTGGTGTAGTCTGGTTTGGTTTGGTGTGGTCTGGTTTGGTTTGGTGTAGTCTGGTTTAGCTTTGTGTAGTCTGGTTTGGTTTGGTGAAGTCTGGTTTGGTGAAGTCTGGTTTGGTTTAGTCTGGTTTGGTTTGGTGTTGTCTAGTTTGGTGTAGTCTGGTTTGGTTTGGTGAAGTCTGGTTGGGTGTAGTCTGGTTTTGTTTGGTGAAGTCTGGTTTGGTTTGGTGTTGTATGGTTTGGTTTGGAGTTGTCTAATTTGGTGTAGTCTGGTTTGGTTTGGTGAAGTCTGGTTTGGTGTAGTCTGGTTTGGTTTAGTTTGGTTTGGTGTAGTTTGGTTTGGTGTAGTTTGGTTTGGTGTAGTTTGGTTTGGTGTAGTCTGGATTGGTTTAGCGCAAGATGATCTGGTTTCTATAATCTGTCACTTTTTCTCTTCTTCTAGATTCTTCAACATAATGTATTTAATATGAATTAGGCAAAACATGAAGATATTACAGCAATTCATATAATATGGATCATGTGCTAACCAAATAGTTACAGAGATAGCCTAAGTATGAAATATCAAGGCTGTCCGCCATCAGGTTGCCAAGATAAACGGATTAAAAAATTTGAGTTTTTGGCAAAAATTCATTTCCTTTGTCACTAATAACCTGAATGANCCAATAGAGGGTAGTTAAGTTATTTCACGTCCCTTAGGACAAAAAAGTAAAATATTGACCCACTCTGCGAAGTTAAAAATAAATTCTTCATCTTAAAAGACGATAAAATTGTGTAAAACTACTTTTTCGGGAAACTAAAAATTTTACTTAACTACGACACATGAGTTCCCTCGACCAATTTTGCCAAAAAAACATCCTGAGCGAACAAAATTGGTCCTAGAAACCCATGGTAAAGTAAAATTCTCCCTGTAAAGTAGTTGTAAATAGTTAGTAAAAAGAAAATATTTATTGCATTTGCAATAACTCATTATTAATTTTCGTGCATCTTTGTAAAAAAAAATATATTGGCAAAATGTTAAAAGCTTTATTCGTATGATCGAATAGATTAATACAACAGAACTTTGTGTTTGTTTCTGTTTGGCAAAATTCAATGTTGCAAATTGTAAGTGTCGTTAGCTGAAATATTTATTTGTAAGGATTATTAAATATTTTATGATTTCTAGTTTTTGTTCTTTATTTTAATTTTAGTTATCATGAAAGTTGATTTCATTTGATCGATTCAATTTCAATTAATAGATACCCCACCCCCCTGCCTCATCTTGGAAAAGAAACAAAGCTTAAATGACTTGGAGGGGGGGGGGGGTGATCTCTGTTTAATACTTTGCACCACTTCAAAGCATAATTTAGTTTTATTTAAAAAACAATGAAAATTGAAGAGTATTTTAAAGAACACAGAACTTTAAAATTGTGAATCTGTAGATCAAGACTTGATCTAATCTCTCCTCGATATCCCATGGAGGCAATACCTTATCAGAAGTAACTTTAATTTTGTGATTTCCCACTGAGATCTAGGCAATTCTTTGAAAGTTATTCATAATTTTATGATTATTTAAATAATGTATTGCCTTTGATTTACTTCACCAACTCACTCATACTTTTTTTGTAGTCCTAAAATTACAACGCACTTCATTATTGTTTTAATTGGTTTTGTTTCTTTAAACTGTTATTTTTTTTCATTTGCGGTTTCTTTGCGCATTTCTTGTTTTTAAGAAGCAATGGAAAAACTTATAGAAATAAACACTTTTCGATCCATCTTTGTAAGAAGGTTCACATTAAATTACGCTAACAGTCCCTTTAAAACAGTTTGAATAGAGAGCTGAGAGTTAGAAGTTTGTCTAAGTTTGTATACAAACTATACTAAACTATACTACAACATGTCATAACCCCTAAACTGTCTTGTTGTATGAACTAAAGGGCGTCTAAAAAAACATAGCTATTCTTTTCTGACCGGGAAATCTGGATATGTCGTCTGTAAATATCTATTTATAAAATGTACTCTGAGCTGGGAACTTTAGAATGGTGGATATCAGGATTAAGGCTTAATCCACTCTTTTTCTTAATCTCCAGATTAACATAATCTTGCAAGATTATCTTAAAAGTGTATGAAAANAGATAGAAGACGACTCTTATTTCACTCTTGCCTGGTTCCCACTGTATAGTTTACAATAATAACATGGATTAAGGACTAAAATGAAAAGTTTCCACAGTGGATATTCGGATCAAGAAGTCAGGATTAAAGTTTATCCATTCTAAAGTTTTCAGCTCAGAGCTGAAAACTTTAGAATGGGATATCCTTAATCCTGATCGGATAATTAATCTGGAGATTAAAAATGAGAGGAGAACAAGCAATATTTAATCTCGAGATTAAGAAAAAGAGTGGATTAAGCCTTAATCCCGATATCCACCATTCTAAAGTTTTCAGCTCTTGTTAGTTGAAAACATTGCATTCATTTAGGTTGACAGTGCTACTAAGGATGATAGATTTTAAACATGATCAAACTTTTGATTATACAGATTAATTGAATAGATAAATCTTTTCGTTCAGTTTAAAAGCTTTTCAACTCATTCGAGACTTAATCCATTACTATATCAATTGTCAATATATAGTGGACAAATACAACTATATATATATATCATTTCCCGATTGAAACATATCTCTCAGCGCCATACAATCTGTTGAACAACAGTTCCGACTGTTTCCTACATCTACTACGATGTCGAACCTCCTCTGAATATCCGACAAAGTCATAGAATCAAAGTTCTACAATTGAGGATTTTTTGGAAAAAAAACTATCTTGTTGCCTTCTTTTATTTGACAGGTAGGACTTTATTCGTTTTTGTCATATCAAACATAAAGTTATGCAAGTATAGTGCAGTAACCTATAACATCTAGTTTGATGTCAAACCTCATCTCTATATCGGACATATTCGTACAATTTAAGTTCGACTTTTAACGATTTTTCGTAAAAAAAGGTTTATTTATTAAAAAAGCTCTCTTTTGTTTGTTCAAATAAGACATTAGTCGAATTTGTCGTGACACACATAGAGTACGTACATGTAAAGTACATTGGTCAGAAAAGATATTTTGTAACTATTTCGCAATTCTACGCGCTTCCTTTTAAATAAAAGAATTCAAAGTCTTTGGTCTAAATTGAGTTGGACATTTTCCCAACGAAAAGACGGTTAAAACATGATTTTCTCTTGTGGATTTAAAGTAAATATACAGTTGTATTCTCTCCATTTCCTTTTACGACTGTCTCAATATGAATTCCTTTGTTCGTATCTAGAATAAAACCTAGCTTATACCCTGGCAACTATAAAACAATATAGTTGAGGAGATTTTAAATGGTTTTGGGTTCCCGCATTTCTCCGATATTTACGAGGGTTTTATGAAGATTTACTCCAAAGTTTCTCAGTCAGATATATCCTAATAATTCAGGATTTTATATGCAATTTTGTTTAAAAATACCAAAACTGAACACATAAATCAAATAGCATGCTATTATAATGAATTCAGAATATAATTTGACGAAATGTTGAAACACAAACTTAGATTTTTCAATCTTTTCAACCTAATGTTACGTTAATGACCTTAGATATTTCAAACAGTGAATTCTGTTTGAAAAAAAAACATAGTCCAATTTTGCAATATCAAAGGTTTACACCATACAGATACAGAAAATAGAAAATTTGAGTTAGCGGCAAAGACTCAATTCCTTTTCTCTTAATTCAGTGAAACAAAAATATGAATGGGAATCAAGTCACAATTGTATCCGTTTTGAAATTTTAAACCAGACTTTTAAAATGTGGCAAAATTATAAAAAAAACCTGATAAAAATCACAAACAAAATAAATTTGACCAGTCAAAACGTTTTGCTCAATATGATTCTCTAAGTGTTTGAATTTTAGAAAGAAAATTAAAATTATAAAAAATTATTTCGATTTTAGTGAATTTTCCTACTAAGCATTGTAGTTACGATAACAAATATTATAAAGAAGTTATAAAATCTATTTCCTTTACTACTGTATCTTACCCAGTGCATAGTTCTGATCCTGGAATATGCTTTTTGAATATAAGCGGACCCAAGATCCAATTAGCAGCTGAGAGTATTCCTTTAGAAACCATTAATCCTGGGGGCAAGAATACCAGTTCTTATAGGAACTATCTACAATTTTCAAATTATTTTTTTAAGCATGCTGTAAAAAAATAATTATACGTTTAAACACCAGCATGTGTAGAACAAAGCTAAAAGAATTTTCTTTCTTTGCTTTTCTTGTTTGAAAAGAATTCTCCATTGCTGGAAAGTAATGAGAATCACTAAAAAGCCTCTTTCAAAGCTAAACACCATTTGTGTATAATTCAACGTTCTTCATAACTTGGGTTTTCTCTGATATATTCTTCTGGATTTCAGAGGTCAAAACGTTTGTGTTATTAATCCCTTTTTTGAAAGGACTAAGGAGTTTAGTCTTTGCCTCAAACTCTGATCTTTACAACATAAAGTCGTGGAGACGTGGACCTCATTTATTTCAAACTATGAATAAAAATTAATCAAATAATCTAAGTTTGAAATATCAAAAATTTAAACCATCAGATTGGAAAGATATAGGAATTGGAAAATTTGAGTTTGTGACAAAGACTTAATTCCTTCGCTTTGATTTAGGCCCTTCGGATTGGAATTTAATTTCTTCTTAATGGTCTTAGAGCTTCGTACTAACAAAAGTCTCAACAACATCTACTGAGAACTTTCAAAAACAAGATTCAGCTGTTTTTGTACGCAGACTAAGCAATTAATCACTTCAAATAAGTTTTCTTTTGCAGCTTAGCGCTATCTCATACAACACAAGTTTTGACCTCAAAGTTAGCGAATATCAAAAAAATAAATTTTCTGGACAAAATTCTCTGAATCATCATGCAATAATGAAAAGCTGTTTGAACATGTTAAACAAAAAAAATTCCGAAAAAATACTAAAAATCTGTTCTTCATATTCTTTTCTTCCCTGGATACTTTGCTATGGATGGTAGTCTATAAATCCACTGTTTCTGGGTACTGGACATGTCAAGACATTTTCATTATTTTTCTACATCATTTTTAGTTTAGAAATCTCTTTAGTCATGCTTGAAGATTTATGCAAACAGGAAAAAATAATATATCTATAATTTAAATATATAGTTTGCTAGTTTTTTTTGTTCGTTTGTGTCCAAGAAACGTCTAAATTCCCGAACATTTAAAAATGCCTACTTTAAGAGCAACAGATAAAAGCTAAAATTGTTGATAGGAACGGGGGCGTGAAGAACCAAGTATAGTTTATTATATTTCTACTCTTCTATTATACTGAAAAAATATTTCTAATTCTTAATTTTTTTTCATTTTGTGAATCTTGTAAGACTTCGTTTTCTCTTGAAAATTAAGATTTAATTAGAACATTAACATAATCTTTCTTAAATTTGAATCCGTTTCATTTAAACCATCTTGATTAATTGTAGTTTTGTTCAGGTTTAAACAGGGACACTTGTGCAGGCCAAAAGAAGAAAATATTTAATAAATTTTTTTAATGATAAATATTGCAAAAGTATGTTCAATAAAATTTGAATACAACGTATTATCGAAAAATCTAGAAAAAATTCAACCTAATGCAAAGATGAAATATTTTGTAAGTAAAATATATCTTATAAAAATAAAGAAACAATTGTGTGAGAAAAATACTATTTTGTTCCACTTTTGGGTTAATTAATAAATGTAAGTGTTGTATACTTAATGCAGTGTTTAGTCAAAAACAAACAAATTAGCGAATCCTTCCTAATCCATTCTCCCCTGTCTAGTTGTAGCACCCTCACCACTCAGGGGTAAATACGCTTCAGGACCTCCTCCCTGCACCCCTATCTAGTTGTAGCATCCTCACTACTCAGGGGTAAATATGTTCCAGGACCTCCTCCCTGCACCCCTGTCTAGTTGTAGCATCCTCACTTCTCAGGGGTAAATATGTTCCAGGACCTCCTCCCCCACCCCCTGTCAGTTGTAGTACCCTCACTACTCAGGGGTTAATATGTTCAAGGACCTCTTCCCCCCACATCTGTCTAGTTGTAGCATCCTCACTACACAGGGGTTAATATGTTCCAGGACCTCTTCCCCCACCCCTGTCAGTTGTAGTACCCTCACTACTCAGGGGTTAATATGTTCAAGGACCTCTTGCTATCTTTGAATGGAAGGTCACTTGAAATTACGCTTACAGTAATTAATATTTATCAATTAAAGAGTTATCGGCGAATCTGACAAAGAAAGAGATTGTTTTCCGTTCACGTCCCAGAAATATTGGGGGGATTTTTCTAAAAATATTTTCCCCTGGTGGTGGTGCTCAAGACGCATGATGAAAAACCTCTCACTAATATACATGTATGTATAAACCTAATACCTTCAACACTAGTTCTTCATCACAAGAATAAGAAATTTTATATTGAAGGGAATGTAACCGAAATTGACTCTTCATACAACTTCGTACAAAGATGGCAACGCCCGATTTACAAAAAGTACCCTTTAAACCTATGTTTTATTAAGGTTATAATGCAAGGAAAGTTATTTCATAGGTGTACGCATCTTTTGTACTGCAGTGTACTGTCTCTGGGCGGTAATGTAAACACAAGACGGATGTCGAAGCCTGACATGGGATCCATCTTTCACATAAAAAAATCAATGAAATATTCTGGTCACAGGAAACTATTATGTGAATTATCAAAATCTTCAAAATGTAATGCTTTTATCCTCCTCGGATACTAAACGAACACTGCAGATGCATCTATTCTTGTTTACAAATTCCGCCCAGAGAGAACTGGTTTCAATTAGTACGCTGAGTATACGCAACTGCAATTAACTTTCCTTGCATTATAACCATGTGTCTGATAAAGTATGAATTGGATAAGCATGTTTTTGTTTATTTAAGTTGTTTGAGTGTATTTGTGGTTTAACTGATATATTGACTTCCACGTTTCTTACTTACTGGAGAAATTCGCAGAAATAAACCATTTCGAGTAAAAAAACGCATTATCTTCCATTTTTTAATCAGAGAAATTTTTCTAGAGTACCATTGTTAATCGGGCATTGATATCTTTGAATGGAAGGTCACTTGAAATTACGCTCACAGTAATTAATATTTATCAATTAAAGAGTTATCGGCGAATCTGACAAAGAAAGAGATTGTTTTCCGTTCACGTCCCAGAAATATATTTTAGATTAATTTTTTTTTAAACTGCTAAGTTTAATATTCAATTGTTATTTTTTCTAAATATATAAAGATAATTTTTCTACTTAAATTGAAGATCATTTGAAGAAATATAATTTTAAAAAAGTGGGAATTTTTTTAAGCTTAGATTTTTCATCGATTTTAATCTTAGTTGCTATTTTTGTGGTTTCTTTAGATTTAATGCGCTTTAATATTGTTAATAATACATTGTTGCTGAATTTTTATAAATTGAAACCTTGGAAGTGCATTTTTAAACAATTTGTACAAACTATACACAATATCTTGTAAAAATATATATTATTTGATTTATGTATTTCTAAATTGTATTCTGTTCCTGTTAAATCTTTTTCTTCTCAAAGCACACAAAAAATTCAGCTTTTTTAAGAATTATTTTCTTATAATATTCATGCATTAATAGTAAACATTGTTATGTATGGGCTATGTTTGGGGAAAACATACCCCATAATTTCTTCATGAATATCTGAATAACTTTGAATAACAATTATTAGCTGTCTGGAAAAAAAAAGCAAAAGCACCAAGTAATCCCAACAAATCCCGACACCCCCCCCCCAAAAAAAAAAAAAAGACTGACTGAAAACTTTTTAAAAAAATCAGAAATTTTTAAATATGATTTTTTTGAGATACCTTCTGTTTTGTTTATGTTTCTAGAAAATAGAATATTTATGTTTACAATTTTCAAACTTCTAAGATGAATGGCACACACTGGGATACAATATTTAAATCTAGAAAAAAAACTTCCAAAAATTTGTTAATTAGAAATTAAGAATTGAGAAAGCGAAACAAACAGAGATATGGACTTTAACTGAGATGAAATTAAGCTTCAATGGAATTTAACTCCAAAGTAGAACCGAAACTTTTGGTTGAGCCGCATAACTTTTAATAAATAAGAGATCTGTTAAAATCTCAGTTTTGTGATAAACTCTACAGAGTCGCGTCTTAAATTCCACAAAAAAAAACGGTTTTAACCGAGCGCTGGCTTAAATCTTGAAAAATTGAATTCAATTTTAAGTGGAACCAACCATATTTAAACTTATTCAGCCGCGACTCAAATTCTTTTAATTTGGCCTCAGGGAGAAGATTGTTTAAAATGATCTATATTCTTTCCATTAACTCAAAGTTCTGTGTCCTAATTTAATAAATTTGAGCTGCGGCTTAAATTTGCCAAAAACCGGTTTAAATTGAGCGCCGGCCTAAATCTTGAAAAATTGAATACAATTTTAACTGGAAACGACAATATTTAAGCCAAGGCTCAAATTCTTTAAATTCGGACTATAAACTCCAAATTAGCCCATCTACAATTCCAATCAAAACAACGTACTTACATCTGCCAAGAATGATTTATTGGAATTTTACGATTTCAAGTTTTTATCATCTAAAATAATTATTTTTTTAAACACAATGGTTTGTCTTTTTTTGGGGACTGAAGGATAAAAAGTTTAGACTATTTTAAAAGTCTAGAATTCATCATTCTTTAATGACATAAAAAAGGGTTTAGATTTTACGCCGAGAAGTTTAAAAAAGTGATTTTTAATAGATTTTAAAATTAAAAGTTTTGTGTTCTCCTAAAGAAGAGATTTTAATCTAAAGTGAAATTTACTTTAATAAGCAAAGCACATATATATATAGATGTGACGATTTGTCTCATGTGTTTAAATTACAAAATTAAAACTTTACTTTATTTATTCCATTTGCAGTCCTATCAAATATAAATCAAGATATGTATGATATTCTGAGTTTTAAAATAATGTCGCATCTACTTAATGTATTTTGCTTTATGAGCCATCAAAATTGGGAAAATAGTTTTTAAAAATTTTATTTTTAATGTGTAATTCGAAAAAAAAATCGCCAAAATTTGAAAATGATATTAAATGGCCGACTTTCAGAGCAACAGTTCAAAGCGAAAAGCACCATAAAAGCTTGGTTATATTTTGCTAATTTTCAGAATCTGTTTGAATTTATGCAATTTCTACAATCTTATTCAACTCATTTGCAATTCAAATCTTGTATATGGTTTCATTCGTCTTACGAGTCCTTAACAAATTCAAATAAAAAGTTTTTCTGATAAAAAAATAACTTAATTTTCAACTTGAATTTTTCAAACTACGAATTCTGCTAGATCAAATTGTCAAAGTTAGAAATATCACAAAATCAAATTTTCTAATCCCTAAATCTGTTGGTGTAAGCTTTTTATGTTTCAAACTTAGATTATTTGATCTTAAAGAGTTCATAGTTTAAAATATCTAAGGTCTAAGACATTGGGTTGCAAAGATATAGGGATGTGAAAATCAGACCCTCTGGTGGCAAAGATTCCACTCCTTTACATCCTTAGGTTCCAGAGATATTTAGAAAAAAATAAGTTTAAGGTGAGTACTCAGTTCGTTTACATGTTCCTTCAGTCCCTATAAGCAAACATTTCTTCAGTTTTCCAATTGAGTTAAGAAGTTTGAAAGAAGTTCAGAAAATAATAAGGTTAAGATAAATCGAGTTTTCCATGTTAAATATAAAAAAATTGAAATTGTAATATCATAAAGAAGAAAACTCACTTTTTTTACGTTGAATTAAAGTAAATTTCACGTAAAATAAAAATAAAAAAAACAAAATATAAGTGTTCAATCACAATGTTTCTTTTATTAAAGAGCTATTGAGAAATTTTGATTTTTTATGTAAAAAACCGATTAAATTGCAGCTTTTCTCAAACTTTGACTTAAAATTAAAACTATAGAAGAGCTATGAGGTCACAAAGTCTATTGATTTCCTTATGCGTTAACAGTTTATTATGTTTTTTTTCGCGCATTGCTCCTTTAAAGAACTCCAGGATTAATCA